GGGGCTGCAATGAAAGCGGGATTTTCCTCCAGAGTTTGAAAACTCAAAGGCATCACCCTCTCATTTTTAAAATTGCACCCTGATTCATTCGGGCTCATGTGGTTTGCAGAAACCTTGTTGCTCCTAAGAAAACAACAAAGAAATGATGGCTTCCTGAGTTGAATCCCTGGGAGGTGCAGGACTCAAGAAACGTTCTGCTTTTCATCTTGCAGAGCCCGTGGGGAACCAGAGAAATCCCAAGTCTCATGTTTCCCGGAGAGCAACGTGACAATGCTGGAGCAAATACCAAAGGAGCGGTGATTGGCGGAGAGAAAAGAAGGGGACTTGAGAGTTGGGAGGCTTAGATCCTAATGCCAGTTTTGTCACCGATTTGCTGCGTGACCTTGGGCAGGCGCCATCCCATTCTGGGCCTGTTTTCTCTCTCACAATTTGGAGGAAAGGTGAGATGCTCTCTAAGCACTCTTCCAGCATCAGCTCTGCCTGGAGTTCCGGGCCCTCCCATCGCTGTCCCTGGACACGGCCTCCAGCCTTCCCTCCGGGCTTGCAAAGCCTAGGAGGGGTGGGAAACGGTCTCCCAGCATGTTTTCTTTCCACTTAAGCTCAGATTTACTAAGCGACTTTTCCGCATTTTTTTTTTTTTTTTGGAAGTGACAGCTAATGGATAAGGAGTACCTCAGGTGCTTTGTCTGGATCTGACCAGGGAAATCAGCAGAAAGACAATCTCTAGATTGCTCTGGGCTGACGTTACTGCTACAGGATGATGTTAATTCTGCTGTTTACAGAAATAAGTCCAGTGTGAGTCGAGGCTTTTTGGTGTTTAAAACCAGATGGTATTTCCTGCCTTGATCAGCCTCAGAGCTTTGGTTCCCATGACAACCCCGAAGTTCCACCTACTGCAACTTCCCCGGTCTCCAAGCTTCTTCCTCTTCCACCATTGTACCAGGGTCCCTGGGGAATAAAGCCACTAAGTAGCATGTGCACAGTACTTTACAGTTTACAACACACTCCAGTATTTATTATCTCACTTACTCCCCACCGCAGCCTCGCCAGACAGAGTTTGCTGTTCTCTCCATTTCACAGACGGGAAAACCAAGGCCTCGGAGATGAGCTGATCTGTCCTCTCGGCCTGAAGTAGTGTCAGCCAGACTCAAACCCAGGTTTTATGACTTTGAACCTCATGTGGGGTCAGCTACAGAAGGATGAATATGAATGCCCTGCCCTGCAGACCATTTACTTGCTCTGGCTTCGAAGTAGTCAATTCCATACCTATATCGGGGATCAAGGTGTGGCATCCCTCAGCAAGTTAGACTTCTCTGTGCCTCATTTTCTTCATCTATGAGATGGGTAATTATAATGCTGCCTGTGGATGGTGAGAGGATTAATTAGCATGTGTGTCAAAGCACAACGAGTGCTTACTGGATTTCAGTGGGCCCGAGAAGCCCGGGTGAGTTTCAGTTCTACTCTAACCAGCATGTGACCTTGGGTGGGTCACTTTGCTTGTTGTCCCTGGCATCACGGTGTTCAGAGGGATGTTGCGCATGATGAGGTTAATGCACGGAAGGGTACAGGAGAGCACCCTCTCTCACACCACTTTGAGTAGCAAGGCTGTAGCTTCTAAGACAGTAACATGCAAGTGTTACTACCAATCCATCACGCAGAGAGCCGTGCCCATAGTTCTCCAGTTATAAGCTCAGTCAAAAACTCAGGAAGCTTGGAGAGCTCACCAAGAGTGTCAGCAGGAGCCCATTTGGAGGGTTTTCTCAGTTGGGAGATGTCCATCAAGGAGAAGGGCTCCCTGGGCCCCCAAGTCCCGGGCTCTGTATCCTGGAACCCCCATGGGGCTCTGGTGAAAGCTACACCTGATCTCGAGGCTCTCAAGAGAGGGTGGAAAAATGTAAATGTGTTACATCTTACACATCAAAATATTCTCATTGATAATGACCTCTGCATTTCTTTAAAAATAAAAATAAACTTTTTAAATAAAAAAAGTCGACGTGACCCAGGAAGGCTGGGTGATCCACGTACAAGTGGGTGACAGAATGTGGATCAAATAGAGCTATTACACAGGTCTAAAGAACATAGGCTGCACCTTGGGCTTTTTGATCCAATGCTTTGTTCTGTGTTCTTCCTAAACAAGTGCAGATTGTAAACTGAACTATGTGTGTTAAGTTCATTGCTTTGCAATAAACAAATATTTTCCATTCGTTCTTGCAATTCGTCTGGCTGGGTGCATCCCAGGCCCTTGCTGCAGGTCCATAACCCAGCCTCTCTGATACCTAGCAGCTCAGGAGTCATCAATGTGGCAGAGCACAATGTCCCCTGTACCGTGGCTGGTGCAGAGCTCCTTTGGCCCTGACCCCCAAGGAACAGGGAGAGAAATGAATGATTAAAAGTGGCGGATGCCCCATGAGCACTCGCCCTGTGCCAGGCGCTGTGCTGAGCTCTTGACTTGGATTCTCTCAGTTAATCCTCACCCTGCCCTGTGAGCCAGGATTTTCACCACCCCCTGGGGATCATAAGCTCCACGAAGGCAGGGACTTTGCTTTGTTCCCTTGGTGCATCTCCAGGGCCTGAGATGTGGAGCCGGAGTGTGTCAGCCCTCATTCCAACAACGAGGAAACAGAGCTTTGCTTACCTGAGGAAGGCTGCCAGCACCCACAGGCCTCCTGGCCAGCCTGGGGCTCCAGGTGGCTTGGTGGGCATTCTCTCAGAGGGTCCTGACACAGACTCTTGACCACTGTCCCTGGTGAGGAGTTAGTAAAATCAATTTGCCCTGAGGTCACCTCACTGATGAAGCCAACCTACAGAAGCCGCAGCGACATGGGTATATAGCCTCCAGTTCTAGATTCTTCTTTATGGCTGAGGTTCCCCTCTATACACACACACAGCCTCCCCATTTATAAACCCTGCTCACAGGCCGGGTGACCCGGGAGCAGACTCCGAGTGGACATTCGCCCATGGCATGTGGTTTGGAGCTGTCTTGGGAGGGACCCTCGTGGCAGGATGGGGGCAAGTGGGACTGGGCAGAGGGAGGCGGGGGTGCAGGGATGGTGGCCGCCGAGGTGGGCTAAGTGGGAGTTGATGGGGCTGGGCCCCTCGGAGGCATCGATTCAATAGCTGAAGAAGTCCTTCATCCAACGGGTGTCCATGCCAACACAGAAGGGCTTCTGAAAACACTCATCTGTGACTCAAACGGAGTGTTTCTGATTGTGATGAAAGTGGAGACAATTATTCGACTGAAAGAGCTGTGAGCAAGTGAAGGGGAGAAGCTCTGAGGCCCTTGGGGAAAAGCAGTGAGAGCCAGAGAAAGGGCAAGTGGCCTGGGGCGAGTGAGGTTACCTGGCACCTGGAGAAGGCACCCGCCTTCCAAGGGGACTTGCCTTCCCAGAGCCAGGACAAGGGCAGCCCCGCTCACGTATGAGGGTTTTCTGTGCCAGGTCCCAGAGACGCTGGCTTGAGACCCTCCATTCTTCTCAACCCTTTGACGAAGGGGACAGAGAGGTGTGTGTACATGGGTGTGGGGTGGGAGGGAGAAGAGAGGAAGACCCTAGGGTGGTTATGGTCTTTCACCTTGATGACAAGGTCCAGATGAGCAGACTGACAGGAGGAGGAGGGAGGGACAGCCAGCTGATGAGCTCCCCTCTTCTTCCTTCTTTTTGAAAACTCAGGATAAAATGTGTATCCCCTAAAACTTACTGCTTTAACCATTTTAAAGTGCACAATTTCATGGCATTAAGTACATCCATGATTTACAACCATATCATTATTTAGTTCTAGAACTTTTTCATCACCCCAAAAAGAAACCCCCTCCCCAGTAGTCACTCCCCATTTCCTCAGCCCCCCAAACTCTGGCTCTACCTATTTGCCTATTCTGGACGTTTCACATGAATGGAATCACATAATATGGAATCTCTTGCCTGGCTCCTCTCACTCAGCATAGTGTTCTCAAGGCTTGTCTATGCGGCGGCACTTGGCAGCATTCCGTTCCTTTTTATGGCCGAATAATATTCCATTGAGCAGCTATAGCACGCTTTGTTTATCCCTTTATCTGCCGAGGGCTGTCCGGGTGTTTCCACCTTTTGGCTACTGTGAAAGGTGTTCTGAATATTTGCATACAAGTTCTGTTTTGTTTTTGTTTTTGAATACCTTTCAGTTCTTTGGGGTATATACTTAGGAGTGGAATTGCTGTGTTACATGGTAATTCTATATTTAACTTATTGATGAGCCACTCCGCCCTCTTTTTATAAATTTTCATAGAATCACAGGGCAGGAAGGGACCTCAAAAGTGACCTAACAGTTTTTCTCAGACTTTTAGTCTGAGAAATTCAGTAAAGTTCAGTAAAACTAAAACTACCGTCACCACCACCCCCCCTTACTAAAGTAAAATTCGGTAAAACTAAAACGACCGTCAACACCACCCCCTCTCACTGAGTAGAAGGGACTCGCTTCAAGGCCGATCCTACAAAATGCACAGATTGCCAGGTAAACTCATTGCCTTCTTGTTTTGCTCACGTCATCTGCACCTTTGGGTCATTGGGGAACCAACTGCTGGGTAAGATCCTCATTCAAAGTGTGAATCCCCCTCTGCAGCTGCCCTGCTACGGGCTCGCCCAGCCTCTGGGGGCCCTTCTGGGGAATGCTCCCCATCCCGGGTAGCTCTGCTTCCTGGAATGTTCTTCCTCACGGAAAGCTGGCTCTACTCCCATGGTCTCCCCAGCATCTTTGCTCCACATTCTGGGGCCCCACAGACCTTGGCCTCCTTCCAGCTGCTTCAGGACTGGAACCCACGCCACCTTCCGCTTCCTGTGTGTATGATCTGTAGCGCCAAGCGCGCCCCCATGAGGCACTGATAGCAGAACAGGTGGAGATGAGGCGGTCCCGACTTGTAAGAATTCTTAGAACAAAGAGAATCTCCCAGCTATTTATAGTGTTTCATGAGCACACACATCCCCCCAACTAGCCTGCCAAAAAAAAAAAAAAAAAAATTTGTGAACAAGCCATACAGACTAACAGGTTTTATTTTTGTTGTTGGCTGGGCTTATACCAATTTAATGTTTCTATGTCGGAAGGCAGAAAGACATCCTGGAGAAAATGTGGCTCCTCCAGAGAGAGGTGCGACCTGCATTCAAACCCACTGTCCCTGTTAAGTGGGGGACCTGGGTGAGGTTAATATCTGTGTGCCACAAAACAAAGGAACAAAGAAAAAGAGAAAGAGACCAGGAAACAGACTCTTTTAACTATAGAGAACTGGTGGTTACTGGAGGGGCGATGGGGGTGAGGGACTGGATGGAATAGGTGATGGGGATTAAAGAGGACACTTAGGACGAAAAAAACCAAAATCTGTGTGCCACAGTCACTGAACTGGCAGGACGGGAATTAGAAAGCTGCCTGAGGGGGCACACGTGAGGAAGCAAGGCAGCTTATTGCCGCGCCAGCACGCTGCGGGCACCTGCTCTGTAATGGTTATCACTGGGAGAAATCTAAGGAGCGTTTATGCCTTCGATGAGCAAAATCAAAGTGGGAAGACAAATTCAATGGTATTTAATATACATTTGGCAAACAAAAGTCCTTTAAAGAATCAAGTCCCTGCATGGAAATAACACTAAAATCATAATAAAAGTAATGTTTGATGGGTGAAGAACATGGGAACCCACTCTGGAGGGCTGAAACAAAATGGCAACCTGGTCTCTTATCAAAGCATACAGTGGTGTTGCTGAGGACTTAAGGCTGAACTCCACCCGAGCCACGTGGAGGGTGGAGACAGGGTCTCCCTGAAGAGACAGCCATGCCCTTTGTCCCTTAGCCCTAGGGAGCTGGCTCCCACAGGAACTGGGAACGTGGTGGGGTTGGCTCACGTCACTGGGCAGGGCCCTGAGGAGGGAGTCGTGGGTGGTCTCTGCCATAGAAGGACCTGGAGACCGATGAACTGGGCTTTCTGCTCTATTCCACTACCAGTGATTCTGTTTGATTCCTCTTCATCCCAAGCTTTGGTGAATCATTGTCTATAGAGACTGGCTTCTTAGATGGGGGGCTGAAATTTCAGGCAGGGTCTAATCCCCTCTTAGATAGCATGTTACAGAGGAACAGGGGCCCCCGGAGGCCAGTGGGGAATCTGGCAAGCCCTCCAGAAATATTTAAGGGGAACCCACCCAGAGGAGGTGATTCACCTCCCACCTCCTGGGGAGGAGATTCATTCTCCAGCCTGTCCTACAGAATTTGGTATTGACTTTATCAGGGAAAAACATCAGGTGTCCTTACATGTTGAACAGGATCTATTAGTTAAAAAGACATGATTATCTTGCTTGAAATAGACAAGGGCAGATGGGCACGGATGATGCTTCACAACCCCTTCAGGCTGTGCTGCAAAATCTTCCCAAGAAGGGTCCCGAGCTTTGGGAGGTGTTCTTGGAGGCATGGGTCAGCGTAGGTGCCTACAGCTGCCTAGTCTGATCCTGGCCCGCATGGCTATGTCCTTGGGCAGCTCCAAGGTAAGAGAAAACTGGAAGGGTTTCCTGCCTCCTCTTTGTCTGCTGGATCAGCTCCTGCAGTTTGTCTGGAAAGCCTTCCTGCTTCTTTCTGTCCACCTTGCTGGGAATCCCAAAGACACAAGCACCCAGAGTCAGGATTGCTGGAGTGTGGGGATCCTCTATCAATCCTTGCGTCCTTAGGCTCTGATGCCAGCAGAGCCATGGAAGCTGCTGCTCCCTCTGGCAGGAGGCCCCTTCTTCTGGCCTTACTCCCTGCTCCCCACCCCAGCTATGGCTATGTCTGGGCAAGTGGGGGGGGAGGATGGGGAGATAGGAAAGAATGTTGAGATTGATTCCAAATGTGCGACCAATAGGGGATGATTTCTCAAGTCTGCTCAGCTCCACACGGTGCGGAAAGGGCTTTCTCACTTACATCTGATCTTCGGCACCTTGGGAAGCACTAGCCCCTTCTAACCAAAAGGGAAAACTGAGATTCAAGAAGAAATAAGCCTGCTGTTACCCAGTAAGTGGCTGAGCCAAAACCCAGTGCTAGGGTTGACTCTAGATTCAGTGCTCTTTCCAGGGAGACAGACTGCTTCTATGCATTTTAAAGAAAAGAACCCAAATCAAAAAAACAAAACAACAAAAAAACCCAACCCAAATCAGAAAAACAGGTATCTAACTTAACCCCAGCCATATGCAGTCCACAAATGTTATATGCTGTCCCTGTCTGGGGGCCCATTGGCTTCCTTATCTGCCGGCCCTCTCCTACGGGGCCAAACCTTAGCTGTGACAGATGACGTGCTCGGAGCCAGGGACCCAGCACACACCTTCATTACAAGCCTCCTCACACAGCACCACAATGCTTTATTTACATGCTTGTCTCTTTAAGACACCGTGGGCTCCTTGAGGGCAGAGATGGGTGTATTTTCATCTCTGGATCCAAAACACAAGCAGGGGCATGCACAGGCTGGATGCTCAGTGCATGTCTGTCTGGTGAATGCAAGGATGAAAGAGTAAGCACTCTCCTTGCAAAACTAGCTGGCTTACATGTGACGGTGTGGTGCCGAAGGAAGGTGGGAGCACCCCTGGCCCGTGGGGGCGTGGCACAAACATGAAGCACACGCGGTGTGTGTGGGGGCAATCCGGCACTAAGGCTGGGAAACAGTGCCTCTCCCCTGCAGGAGACCCCCTGCAAAAGATGGAGAGTCCTCTGAGCCAGGTCCCAATCACCCAAAAGTCAGGGGACTCCCCTACCCTGATATCCTTTTGCCAAGCAGGGCACCTCTGCCAAGAGATGCTGGGGGACAGAGGAGAACCAAGGACCCCTGAGCCAGCTGAAGCCCCTTGAGTGCCCCCTCACCCTACTCCCAGTGGCTGTGAGTCCTCATGGCTCCCACTGTCCCAGTCAACGCAGGTTTCCCTGACAGTGTCCCAGGAACCTGTCTTGCAAGAGCACCGTGAAGAAGCACTCTAGGGGCAAACATATGGGAAATGCTACCTGCTACACGGCCCCCTCCAGGAGGCCCAACACACGCGGGCACGCTGAAGGTCCTGAGAGGTCCTGCAGCAAGACAACCACATTAACTGGGCTTTAACCCAGTGCCTGCCAAACCTACTTGATCACAAAGCCTCACCCCACTTTCACATATACACTCCCTTGATTTTTCTTTATGAAAAACCCATTAACATCCCATGGAAGTGGTGTTCCAAGGCACACACTTTGGGGAATGCTGTTCCAGGTCACTGAGCAAGGGAAACACTTACTGTGGAGGAGAACAGCCCCTTACAGGCAGGCAGGGGATACATGTGCAGGGCAGGGGGTGTCACCAGGAAGGGGGAGATCATGGCCCAGAAAGGGTGCCAGGAATCTCTCATCCAGCAACACACAAACTGCCTGGGAGAAAAAGCCTTAGAACCACTTGAGTCCATTGGAAAAGACAAGAGAGGCATCTCTCCTGAGCTTCAGCTTTCCCATCTGCAAAATGGGAATCAGCCCTGCTCTGTGTGGGGTCAGCAGATGAGATCACGGGAGCTTGCACTGCGGAAAGGTGCCCCCTCCAGCACAGCTCTTGTGTGTGGCGGAAGTTCAATCAAACGTACCTGAAAGGACGCTGCACAAATAGAGGGCTTATGAAAAAAACAGGACAGCAGCAAGAAGCACACACAAAACCTCAAAGCATGTAACTCAGGGGCCAATGTATTTCAGGGGCAAACAACCCTCGGCCTATTGAGAACCAACCCCTGAAGACACCAGTCCATTCCAACAGTGAGAATACCGGGCGCTTCCAGCTCCAGGAGTCTACCTGTATCAGTGGACAAGGCATGGGCCTGGAAGCCCACCCGATCCAGTTCGAGGCCAGCTCTGCCCAGCCACCCCCCTCCCCCCAGCCTGGGTAACTGGCACGCAGCTTCACTCCATGTCTGTCTCCCAGATGTGCAGGTTCTCCAGGGTGACGGGGAGGATGGATGACACAGGTCAAGCTGCTGCCCGCAGTAGGTGCTCAATGACCACGTGCCCTTAAAGGCCTGACTTTGAGGGATATTTATAAAGATGCCTGTCGGTGATGGCCAAAGTGAAACCTCTCTCCAGTCATGCTGCAAGTCGGCTGCTGCTGGTGGGAGGATGAGAGGACGGCGGGGCTGGCTCAACAGGCGGAGGAGAAGCATGAGGGGGCAATGTGGTCACAGCCACCCCGAGAAGCCAGCGGAGCGGGAGCAGGCTTTCGTGGCTGGGGAGGGACACGAGAGGCCACGCCTCCCAAGGAGATCAGCACACAGCCTGGTGGAGCTCATGGCAAAGACGAGAACTCTGTGAAGGCTACTGTCTACTGGGTACTGTGTGCAGACCAAAAGCTTTCTGCATAGTGGCTCTCAGCTCTGAGCAACAGGCCAAGTGACCTGTCCCAGGCCACACAGCTGGCCAGCCCTGGGGCTAGAGGTGAACTTTGAGCCAGAGTCCAGAGCACAAACCACTCTGCCATGCTGCTTCTCGAGGTTGGGACCGACCATTCATGTCTTCTCCTACCTATCAAGGTCCCCAAGGGTGGGACTGGCTCTAGCTTGTCTCTGTATCCCCGGCACCCAGCACATTACAGAAATGCAGCAAGCGTTTGGCCAAATTACTTACTTGAAAACACTTCCAAAAGCTACTGGATTTTAGAAGTCGGAGCTCTGCTAATATAATAGGACATGGCAGAAAACGGTAAGAACCGATTCCCTTCTGAGGAACATAGCATTAGCAGGGTGTACAAGAAATTCCAAACACTTGGCTTCTTTGTCTAGAACATCTGAGCACCAAAGTCCTTCCACAATGTAATATATTAGGGTCTTCGGCTCTCCCCTGAAGTGCAGGAAGGCCTACAGTGACATGGGGCGAGCAGTGTAGACTATGAGAGCATCATCCTGCCTGACTGCCCAATCTTACAGGTGAGGACACTGACGGCCAGAAAGGAGAAGGGATCCAAGATCACACAGCAGGCCTACTTTTTTTTTTTCCTTACAGAAAAGGCTGCCATTGCCATAAAGAAAGGCGTTCAACATACACATCCTAAACACCTGTTGTATGGTGTATGCAGTCGGTGCAGCGAAGTGTTAGAACAGAGTTATAAACAAGCAGTAAGGGACCCTGGGAGCTGAAAAGTTAGTTCTGTGTAAGGGAGTCAAGAAAGGCTTCACTGGATAGGTGACTTGGATCACAAAGAACAAGTTAGAAGTTTTACAGGAAGATGTGTCAGGGAAAGCTAAGCTTCCTCTAAAACATGTGCTGCACTGGCTAAGTGTAGACTTGCTGCTGGGCAGCCACCGCCTGAACAAAGACTACATTTCCCAGCCTCCTTTGCAGCCAGGTGGGGCCATGTGACTACTGGTGGCCAACGGAACGTGAGCAGGAGTGGCTAGAGCAGGAGCCATCAAGAGGAAGGTGGTTAAGAATGGCTGTGCCTTCTCCACCGTTCCTTTCCCCTTTCTGCCAGCCAGAGGCAAAGATACTGAGGCCCCTGGGGATGACAGGGCCACCAAGGTGAAAGGAACTGGTTCCCCAAATCACAGTGGGAAGCCACCTACCAAGCAGAAGCAGCCATACGGGACTTCACGTGAGGATGAGTCTACTGCGTTTGAGGTCCTTACGGCAACAGCATCACCAACTAGGACAGCAGGGAAAAGAAGGGGAGATGGGCGTTCGGGACAGAGGGAACGTGACAAAGGCACAGCGGTGTGACCAAGTGAGGTGTGTTTGAGGGAATGGGGAAGAGCTGATGCTGGCTGGAGCAGTGGCTATGTGAGGGCAGCACTGGGATTCAGAAAGCTCACGCTGGTGACCACAGGAGGGAGGATCATGTACAGGGATTGTTTCCAGGGGCCCTGGTGTTGCTGGCGCTGCTCTCAAAGGAAGAGTGGAAGTTGTGAATGGTTTCCTGTAAAATTTGTCTCTCGCGTCCCTGTGGAGGAAATTGAAAACAGACACAAAGTCTCGTTAAATCTTTTAACTATTACTTCAATTGACATAGTGTTGATAATGCTCAACTCATACTTGAGAAACCCATGGGTGTCTTGGAGAAAATAAATTATCTAATTAAAAGAGTACTGAGTTTAATAAAAACGTGCTGACTCAGAATGTCCCCTAGCACCCACAATCATAGCATGTCAAGGGTGGAAAGGGCGATGCAGGAATCCAATCCTCCAGACAAGGACAAGACACAGAGTCCAGGGAGCAGGACTGACTTGGCCCAGGGCACATGGCCTGCAAGGGAGGTTCTCTCCCGACTCACTGTGTGTGTCTTTCGAGCTCTCAGATTTCCAGGGAATTGAGTGGGAGCTGAATTCTTTCTGCTACACAGGGAGAGTCTGAACTGTCTAACTCCCCCTTGCCCAAAAGATGTTAGATTGCTCTTGGCAGTGATTCACATCTCACTCTACCCCTGCAGCACTCCCCTCACATCCCTACCCCTTAACACACATGTTTTGAGATGGGAAAAGAGGGAGGATGTGGATGTTTCTTTCAGCCCAGAGAAAATCTTCAGTGAATGCCTGGCCGAGAGGCAGTGATACACAGAGCTTAAGAGCAGAGACTGGAAGCAAACAGCCTGCGTTCAAATCCCATTCTTGCCGTTTACTAGCTGAGTGACCCTGAGCAAGACACTTAAGCTCTCTGGGCCTTAGTTTCCTTATTTATAAAATGGGGATAAGAGTAGTACTCAAATGGTTGCTGGTGACATCAGACCCTGTGTGGGCAGCAGGAGGCTGACAGGTCCTGTCCTCAGAGGACAGCAGTGCAGACTAAACACCTATTTTTTAAAACCAACAAATGTGGTCAACATGTAAAGCAGATTAAAAATGAATAATCTCTGGCAGACTGTTCTCTGCTAAGAGTAAAAAGAGAAAAAAAGTCCACTGAGTGAGCTCAGACTTCAAATTTTCTCTTCTTTCATTTTGTGGACTCTCCAGACCCCAGGGGGCCCCCCCATGAGCCCTGAGCAGGGACCTCTACCGCCATCAAGGCCCCCTAGACACCTGAGCAGACAGTAGGACTGCCCGGGATGCCAATCCTTCCAAGTAAGATAAATAAGCTAGAAAAATGCCCTCCCCCGGAGCCCAGCAACACAAACCTAAAGGCTGCAGGGCAGAAGGCAAGGCAGGGATGTGGGGTCAGAAGACGGTGAGTCCCTAACCCTACCACTCCCTGGCGGTGGCGCCCGGGCAGGACCCTATTCGCTGCTGGGTGGACAGGAGGACACGCTGGGACTGTGAGGAGGCTCGACCCGATATAACGAATGGGGTGACACTGTGCAAAGTGCAGAGGGCTAAAAAACTGACCAGGAGGGATGATGGCCATGTCGCTATTAAATGCTACCTTAGCCTGAACTGCCTCAGAGACAAGGTCGGGGCGAGCCAGGGTTCCAGCATTCCGCCTCCTACTTAGGAAAGAGCTGCAGACGATGAAAACCATAACTGTTCCCCATGTCCACAGCCGACTGAAGAGGACGACCATAACTGCCCCTTAGGAGCCCCTGAGTTTCAAAGGACCTGCCTGAGGATTCTTAAAAGGGAAAAAGCGAACGGCCATGAAACGTAGAAAAAAGTATTCAGTCTATCCAGTAGTTAAAGAAATACAAATTAAAATGAGGCACACTTTTTGGCCTCCCAAATTCATAAAAATCTAAAAGCAAACAGAGTAGTCAGTCCTGGAGGGGATTTGCTGATACTGGAGCCACACGCCCACAGGTGGTGGGGATGTTCACTGGCATTTTCTGGAAAGTAATTCAGGAAGAAGTGCCATATACCTTGATTTAGACTCTTTGACTCCACGATTCCACTTTTAGACATCTGTTCTGAGGAGATAATTAGAAAGCCTTATACACAAAGTTGCCCACTGCAGTGCTATTAATAGAAAGTTTGGATATCCACATATCCAACAAGTAGGGATTTAAAATAAGGTAATTTTAGTACATCCATGCAAATGTATTATATTAAAAAGAGTTTTTAATGACATGGGTAACTGCATATATTTAATGTTAAATGAAGAAAGTAGGATGTAAAATTATAGATCCAAATTTATCTCAGCAGAGAAAAACATTTGGCACAAAACACTGCAGTGATCTTCCCAAATGTGAACAGCACTGGCCTCTGGGTGGTTGGATCATGATTCCCTTAAAGACTCTTTTCACCCTTTTGACACTGTGCAAATTTAGTAAAATGAATGTGCACTGCTTTGATAATCACCCACAAAAATGGCAATATTACAGAAGCAATGACTTAGGAACCAACTGAAGGTGAAATTCAGATGAAATTTCTGGTTGACCTTCTCCAACATATAAACTGTTTGAAACTAATCAACTAGTAAGCGAACTCGAGTACACATCACAACTTGAATACTGGAATGGGGAGGCTCGGCCAGAAGGCCCATGGCTTGTAAGGCTGAGGATCTATACTGCTTTGCTGGTATTTTTATGGCAGAGCCAGGTTTCTGATTATTATTCATCAACAAAACAAAACAAACATAAAACCTTTTAGGCTAAAATGTTCAAACTATTTTTGATTGTGCAAGAAATACATTTTAGATCACAACCTTGTTACATGTAAATTTATATAGCCGAAACAAATTTACCCTCCTACTTGCAAAGAATGTTGACATTTTCTATGCTTTTCTGTTTTTTTCTTTTTTAAAGATTTTTATTTATCTATTTGAGAGAGAGAGAGAGCTAGAGAGCACAAGTGGGGGAGAAGGAGAAGCAGGCCCCCCGCAGAGCAGGGAGCCTGATGTGGGGCTCGATCCCAGGATCCTGGGATCATGACCTGAGCCGAAGGCAGACACTTAACCGACTGAGCCACCCAGGTGCCCCAACTATTCTGTTTTTTAAAATGCTGCTGGTGAACCACTAAACTGGGTCCACAACCCCCAGCGTGCTGTGGACCACAGTCATGAAGACACTGGTGGACAAGGGAAGCTGGGCCTCCCCTCTCTCATGGGTCCTGGTCGGGGTTCTTGAATATATCCAGAGCATTTGAGCCACCAATGGGTACTCTCTTGGCTGAGGTTGGGTTGCAGAAGAAAAAGTATGAATGCTGACAGGGGAGTGGGTGCCCTGTAGCAATCAAGGAGGAGGCAGAACACCCTGAAGTCAGGGTGAGAGGGGTCCAGCCCAGAAGAGCTGAGGCCCAGGGCATCCAAAGGCCATCCAAAGGGCTCCTGGAAGCCACGTTTGGCCTGAGAACTTCTTTGTTCTAAGCAGCACATAGCTGCAATGGCAAGTGCAGCAGATTATTAACCTGTTTTTGTAATATTTAGCTTCTCCCAATCATGCTTTTGCTCTAGGACACGCTGTGAGGCATGGTCCTCACTTCCACTGGACCTTCCCTCTGCCCCTATTTCCATGTGGAACTGCCTGGCTTTGAGGGTGGATGCTGCCTGTGGGAGGGACGTGGGAGGGACATGGGTGGGATGGAGGAGCAGTCCCCTCGGTCTGGCAGGTTGGAAGCACCCAGGTCTCCTGGTTGGGAGCTGGTCAGCTGGTGCCCCCAAGGAAGACCACTGTTACAGAAGGACTGTGTCCCCACCACCCAAACGCATATGTTGAAACCCCACCCCCAGTGGGATGGTGTGAGATGGTGGGGCCTTTGGGAGGTGACAGGGCTTGGGTGAGGTGACGAGGGTGGAACTCCCATGATGGCAGCAGTGCCCCTATAAGAAGACAGGAAAGACCTGGCTTCCCTGCTCTCCACCGAGTAAGGACACAATGAGAAGGTGGCAGTCTGCACCTTGGAGGAGGACCCTCACAGATCTCAACCATGCCGGAGGCCTGATCTGGGACTCGCAGCTTCCATGCTGTGAGAAAAAATTCCTCTTGTCCACGAGCCACCCGGTAGATGGTCCTTTGTGATGCAGCCTGAACTAAGAACCACCAACAGCTGTCGACGCTTCTGCTTCTCTAGACTGGGCCTTGTTTGGCACAGCATACAGACTGTTACAGGAATAGAGTACGGGGGCAATGAATTTGAGAGAAAATGAAAAAAGGTCCCGGTTTGTGCAAACATTAAGAAAAATGTTTTCCTTTGGAATGGGCTTGAGATGTCACATCATCCACTCTGATCATGACAGTTAAGTTTCCTAAGATTTGCAAGCCAGTCCAGTCTGCCTTCTTTCTGTGATCCTGGGCCACAAGGGCCATGGTCACTGAGGGCAGAGGGGAGGTCAGGAAGCATTAGCAGCTACCATCCACCACGCTCTGGGCCAGGCTTTTAGTGGCACTCAGCTCCTGGCCTGTCCTCCCACATCCTCCATGGTCCTCACTGGCCCTACATCTAGAACCTTTCCTGTCCTTCTTCAACTGGCTTGGCTTCCCCCACCTCTATCCTCTCCTTGGCTCACACATCCGGCCTCTGGAGGCCCGAGCAGGAAGGGTCCTGCAAACCTTGAGCCAAATCCCCCTACCATCGCTCACCTACCCTCTCCCAAGAGCCCTTGCCCTTACTTGACTGGGTCCCCTCAACCACCTGGGGGCCTCATCTGTCCCCTCTGGCCTCCCCTCACACCACACCCCTTGCTCCCAGGCCTAGCACTTCCTGAGTTCTTGAAATGCACTGTAGCTCCTCTTACCACAGGGCCTTTGCACATGAGCTTCCCTCTGCCTGGTCTGCACTCTTCTACCCCTCTATACGAAGGTTCTCATCTTTCCTCAGATCCCAGCTCTCCTGCCACTTCCTTGGAGATGTCTTCCAGGACCTTGCCTTTCTAGGCGCCACTTGAGGTAAGGAGCTCTGCTTTACATGCACTTGTGGCTCACACTGAGGCAGGGCAGCATAGTGGTCAGCATTCCAAATCTGGCTCTGCCACTTACCAACAGCATGACCTCAGTCAAGCTCCTCACCCTCCCTGTGCCTCAGTTCCTCCACTTATAGACTGGAGGACCTGGCCTCAGTGGCTTTTGTGAAGTTAAAGGAATCACTGGACGTGACATGCTGAGAGCAGTGCTGGGTACAGAGTAGCCTCAGAGCTCAGCGCCCACATAGTGCTTGGGACACGGCAGAGAATCCAAGGGCTATTTTTCATGACCAAATCAACGCTCTAAAGACTTCAGTGCTTGCTCTGGTTGATCGATGCCCCAGGGGCTTCACTTCCCTGGGTAAGCCCTTACTACCAGCCAAGACTGGTCCACTTCCAGCAACTTCCAACAACCCCCATGCCCGCCTCACCCCCCTCCCCTGCCCCTCACATCTCAAAGCAGAGCCAAAACAGTGCTGGTCTGGGAGTCAGGGCTCACTATCCATCTCTGAGCCTCAGCTTCCCCGTCTGTAAAGTGAGGTAGCCGAGGCCCACAGAACAGGTGAGCAGTGTTCAGCAACGGGTCACTTACAGAAGAAAAAGAACAGACAGTAAAAACTCAAGATAAAACACAGACGCTAGAAGCACTGCCAACTAAATCACTCAGAAGGACCACCTTGCACCCTATAAACAGGTAAAATAATAATAATGATGACAGCAAGAGACCCAACCCCCACCCCCCAACCCCAGTGCGGCTGGCAGAAGCCACCTGCACACAGCATGCTGCTGTGGGAACACACGATGAAGACCCGGGTGAGGTCCTGCCTCACTTGCCTGCCCAGCTCTCCACCTGGGCAGCTGGACAAGGGAAGTGTGAGGCTCCGGCCTCCTCGGATTAACTGGGGAAGTGAATGGGAAGTGTCTTGTGAATGATAAAGTGCTACATGAATATTTATTTGCTGTTGGCACTCTAAGTCTCTTCAATATTTCTGTGCGTACCTGGCAATACACAGAAAGAACCGTAAGACCGGTCACGCTCTCTGACATAACCTCGTATCATGGAACACAGCCCGAGGAACAAAACAACAGAAGAAAAAAGAACAAGGCAAAGAACAAGAGACATCCATTATGGTGCTATTTGTAATGGCAAAACCCCAGACACGGCATGATTGTCTAACAGGAGGGGGGCTGTCAGGCAGATCGTGAAACAGCAATAGGTAAGCAAGTCCTGTATACTCTTGGAGTGAGACAAAAACGTCCATCCCACGTTAGGGAAAAATCCAGGAGGCAAAGGAGCCTGAATAGACCAACAGCTACTGTGGTACTAAGGTTTGCAAAGTGAGTGGTGATTTGCTTCTCATGTACTTTTTTTTTATTGTTTTCTGCATGTGTGCCTTTGATGGGGGTGCACTGTTAATCTTTAGTTTAAAGCTGATGAAACAGAAATTTAACATTAGACAAAAATGTAGGATGCCAACAATAACAACAGTGACTGACGGGTCTGTGTGTGCCAGGTGCGCCGCTAAGCATTTTGGTCCTGGCAACGACCCACTGCCCCCAGTGGATGAGGAAAGCACGGCTCAGGGAGGTGATGACTTCTAGGGCACACAGTGAGTAAGGGGAGGAGTGGGCTCACCCCCAGGTGGGCCTGACTCCAGGGCCCCTCTTACGAGGGCTCTGCTTCCACTGTAAGCTGGAGGGCAATACCCAGCCCCATGGGTTGAAATTACCACAGGGAGCATTTTCGCTGATTCTATGGGAAGAAAAATCTGGAAAAGGAACAGGGAGGTAGGGAGCACTCGGTGGTGAGAAGTGTGCACACGGGGCCGTCCTCTGCCAGATGTGCCAGAGGAGATGGAATCAGACCACAGATGTCCTCAGGAACACGGAGGGCTCAGGATCCTAGTGAAGCTCTCTGCTGTTCGAAACAGGAAAAAAAGATTGAGAACAATACCTTGCCTGCATTCAGTTCAGAAATCGCTGCCAAAATCTGCTGCCTGGATCCATCTGTCTTAATACCCAGCTCCTTCAAGTCACCGTCAGTGAGCGTGAGGAACGCTTCCATGTCCACCTGGAAAGAGAGAAGGGGGATTCGCTACCATCTGCTTTTGGTGCCACACCTTTTTTTTTTCCCCCCATCCACACCAGAAGCAGCCTGATTATGAGCTATTAGTGCTTATTAGCAGTGAAGTAATTATGATTTACTACTTCCAATTCCTGACTCTACGATGAAAGTTTAATTGCAAGTATTAAGGACTAACTCTCCTCAGCTCTAGGCCTGGAAATCCCAGGACAGTTGCACTGTGGAAGGACCCTGACCACTGAACAAGGAAGGGGAGTCTCTGAGACCGTAATCTGGGTGGCCGGCCTACTGCAAATCCAGGGCTGCTCTTAGAAGGTTGACCCCAGTGCTGCTGCATCCCAACAAGATCGGAAACCGCACGGAAAATGGGCATGTATGGCAGGACTCAGCATGGCTCCCCCCAGAGGACCAGGGAGATGCAGACTCTGGAAAGACAGAGTGCGCAAGGCAACGAGCAAAAGCGATAAAGGGGAGAAGGGCTCAGAACAAGGGCAGCTCAAAGCCGCACAACCCCGAGCTGCTACAGCTGAAACCCTAACACTCCCGTCATCCCAGCTTGGGCCTCAGCTCCAGGAGAGGAACCAACGGGGCGTCCTGTTACACGGCTGGTATGCTGCGGCGTCCGTCCTGCGAAGGGCAGACGTGGCTCGGAGGCAGCACGCACAGCGGGTGGAGGCCAGCCCTACACACCCCAGGTCTGTCCCGGAGCCTCGCTGTCAGGTGACAGCGGGGGGGACGCAGAAGCTAACACCACGTGCGAAGCACTTTCTGAGTATTCGACACAGACTGAGTTGTTTAAAGCTTACGACATAAAGTGAGATGACTACTATCCCCTCTTGGGGGACAGGGAAACTGAGGCACGGAGAGACTCAGTCCCCAAGGTCACGTGACCGGTCAGGGAAAAAACCAAGACTGGAACCCAGGCAGTGGGCTCCAGAGTCCCTGCTCTTCTCTGCGGGGGCCACGTCACTCTTCGATGCTGCAGCTGTAGTCACTGGCCTGGGGGCGGCGGCCTCCTTGCTAATGTGACTTGATGTTCCCTAAGAATTAAGGGGTTCTGTCCCCTGTATGGGCCCTTGCAAATGAGACCCCAAAATGGCAGTCATCTGGGAGACAGGCAGGGCCTCAATCCCCATGTGCTGCCTGGGGCACCTGGGCAGGAAGCTTACCTCAGTTTCCCACCTGAAATGTATGAATCCTCCCCCCACCTAACTTACAGGTGGCTGTAGGGTCTACCCAGCGGGCTTACACAAAGCTTTGCAAGCTAAATTATGAAAATATTACAGTTTTATGTGATATAATACTGCTGTCATTTAAAATTAAACTTTCATGACTTACTGAAAATCCTTAGTTCTTCACTTTAAAAGTAGGCTTTGTTTTCTATTCCCTCAGAGATACTGAAGATTTTTAAAAATTTTCTTCAAAACATTTGGTGTATGTGGAGATAGAGGAATTTTTTTCTGAAAAATGTCCCCCATCTTTCCTTTTCTATTTTAATAGTCATTTTACTTTCCTGGATTAAAACAACCTTGAAGCAGGCGTGAGTCGGTGGGGAAGGGTCTGCTCCCTCCCCAGCCCCAAGCTCTGTGACGTGGCCCCCTGCATCTCTCTGGGATTTTACAGCTCACAGGGGCTGAGGGCCTGAAAGAGCAGATGACATGGTTTTGAGACACTGCCCGCCCCTGGCTGGGCCAGACACTCCCTTCTCCCCACAGCCCGACCCGCAGGCTGTCCCCAAAGCCAGCTCCCCAGCACCTCTCTGCTCTCTTGCCCAGGGTGCCCCCACTCCCCCGTCACCCCCTTCTAACTGGAGTCTCCTTTCCTGTGAGTCTGCCCCTAACTCCCCCACCAGCTCTGGTCCACCACCCACACCAGAGGCTAGAGATCTTGCTGGCCCTCGTCTGTCTCTGGACTGTGGTTCGCAAGATCATGTCCATGCTGGCCAGGCCCTGCTCGGTCAGGCTGTGCTCCCTGCTCCAGATGCGCCAGCCACCGTCAGGCCCTGAACAGGCCAAAGCGCTGATGGCTCTCTGCGCACGTCTGCTCCCTCCTCCCAGATGCCCTTCTAGCCCTGCTCCCCTCCCTCAAAGCTCAGTTTATGCTCAGCTGAGGTCTCCTCTGGCCCTCATTCTATAGACCCCCTTCCCTGGGCTCCCAGAATGCTCTGGGTGTTTCTGCCTTTGCTAGGGTCAGGCTCTGGTAGAGGGCCTGGTAGGGGGCAGAGACCTGAGTTGTGTTTGCTGGCTGACAGAATGACCACACTAATCAATATGCTACTGCATCCGCACATGCACTGACCTTCTCAATCTCTGACCTCTGTCAACCCTGGGGGGCTGCCAAATCCTCACAGCTCATTTTAGGTGGAGGGAACCAGAGACTAAATTCTCCTCACGTGAGTACTTCTGAAGGGTTAGCACTATGAGGCAGAAACATCTGTGTCCTTTCAATATTCATGCCCTACTTTTTTTTAGTAATAGAATCCTAGTTGTCAGCTAGGCACATTTCCATGAAGCTAAAGCACTATATTTCTGAGTTTCCCTTGCATATGAGCATGTCAACTGACAAACTTTTGGCTAATGAAATATAAGGTTTATGGTACTTTGAGGAATTCTCTTTAAAAAAGGAGAGCACGTGTCTTTTTGCTATCTCCTTCCATCCTGCTGCCTGGAATGTGGATGTAATGGCTGGAGCTCTAGCAGCCATACTGGACTTTGAGGATGAGGGCCATACACCCTAGTGATGGTGGAGCAGAGAACTAGAAGGAGCTTTGATGACTCACCTGAACACTTTCTGTGGGAAAAATAACCTTCTATTTTGTTTAAGATACTATTATCTGGGGATTTTTCAATATATGTAGCCAAAGCCATCCTAATACAGGTAGAGAGATGAAAATTATTAGTCTGTCTTCAGTTTCAGTATGGCAGGATGAGAAAATGTATTAACTTCATTCTTCTTCCAAATTCTCAACAAGCACTAAAAGCATATAATAATAGGGAGAAAGTTTTATGAGCCCCGGCAATGAGGGAAAAGTACTATTCTGCATGCCAGGTACTTTAAGGAGTTTCTTAAGGGACTAACAAGTACTCTGTAGCTGTGGGGATGGGTGTAGAGGTGAGGGCAGGGGCAATCAATGGTGTTAAAACCTGAGTCCCATGAAAGCCTTCAAGGGAACACGGGATCTCTAGATGGATAGATAACAACCCTCACACATTGCTACCTAGCTTATATATTGTCCAGAGAGAAGCTAAGCACAGGGGGGACAGCTGAGCTGGCTCCTGACAAGGGCACTGCCTCAGCTAACCTCACCCTACCCAACACACACAGAAATCCTCCAGCCAGTGGCTCTGCCCTCCCCACAGTCCTGCCCCAGGCCTGAGCACCCTCCTCAACCCCAGGGCTATAGAGATTTTCAGGTGGGTGAGTGAAGACCACAGCAACTCTGCATGGTCTCCCTGCCCTCCAAAACTCTGAAAGTGTCAAATTTCATCTGGAACACACCTCAGTTCCCTATAAGGGACAGCTGCAAGAACCAGAGAATGGTGAATAACAGGTGTACCCTCAGACACGTAAGCTCCAAAACAGGGATGCAGCTAAGAACTCAGGACAAACGTTGCCTTGTGACACAGAGACACCTCAAGAAACAGAAGTACACCTTGAGATGTGTTCCCTGCATACTCCAAGAGGGCGCAGAACACAGCACACAAGAGCAGGCCGCCAGCAGTGCATGGGAAAGATTTCCTGGCAATAAGAAACATCGCTGCTGCGGTTTAAAACGCCAAAGAGGCAGGAAGGACCCGCTGGCTCCAGCAGGAAAGCAAGGGAGGAAGAAAGCCACTGCACTCTGTCTGCTGCTTAAGACAAAATGCGAACTCCTCAGTAGCATCTCAAGCTTGCAGGGACGGTGAGTGATTCTCAGGACTGCTACTGCAATGATGAGAGTTGCCATGTACTCGACCGGGCACCAGAAATATTCCAAACTGGCGATTACATCCTGGTGGCTAGTGGGCCTGCAGAGGAGCTTTATGTGGCCGAAATGGTAAGTTTTTTCCAAAACGTATTGAGATATAATTCACTTACAATACAGTCCACCCATTTAAAGTGTACAGTTCATAAGGAATACATCAGTGGTACTGTGACAGCGACGTAGCGGGATGGAGGGCAGCCACGCTTGTGGTGAACACAGTTAAAGGATAAGCTTGGCAAATCACCAAGCTGTACACCTGAAATTAACGTAACACTGTGTGCAACTATACGCAAATAAAAAATTCTTTTTAATTAAAGAAAGCAGACGAGTCAGTGATTTTTAGTATAGTCAGAGTTGTGCAACCACCACACTCTATTTTAGAACATTTGCATCACTCCAAAAAGAAACCCACACCCATATAAGCAGTCCGTCCCCATTCTCTCCTCCCCCCACACCCTGGCAACCACTAATTACTTTCTGTCTCTACAGATTTGCCTATTCTGGACATTTCATATAAATGGAATCACACCATATGTGGCCTTTTGTGTCTGGCTTCTTCCCCTCAGCATAATGTGTGTCCCAGGCTCATCCGTGTCATAGTGTGCGTCAGCACTTTCTTCCTTTTTATGGCCGAATTATATTCCATGGTACAGTGATAACGCATCTGGTCATTCATCGATCGATGGACATTTGGGCTGTTTCCCACTTTTTGGCTATTATGAATAATGCTGCTATGAACATTCGTGTGCAAGTTTTTGTGTGGACATATGTTTTCAGTTCTCTTAGGCACACACCCAGGAGTGGGACTGCTGGGTCACATGGTAATTCTATGTTTAACATTTTGAGAAACTACCAAACAGCAGAACGGTCATTTAAAAAAAAAAAAAAATGTGACTGTGAGTGCTTTTAAGCAAAAGGAACTCTCTCGGATTAACACAGACATCCTATATCCAGATACTTAGCACAGAGTCAATAGGATTTGTTTTTGACCAGCTTTAAACCTAAAAACCTGCCAGTCGATCTCCTTCAACAAAAGTGTGCGAAGGACAAACGCAAACTTTACTCACGAGAGCAGTGCGCAAAATCACATAATTCTATCACAACAAAACAAGCCGTAAGGCCCCCAGGATTTCACTGTGATGAACTGAACTAAATGTGCTGAACACAAACTCCATCTCCTTAGCTGTCTCAGTGAGAAAGATCAATCTACGCTCGTAGGATGAAAACTCATATATTTAAGATACTTTGTTTTTTTACAGTAAGATTCAAATGGACATTCAAAAATAACATCCTTACCTCTTGCTCCTCAAAAATGGGCTGATATTTCTCAAGTGATAATTTCTTAAGGATTCCAGTCAGTTCATCTTCGAGAGGGAAAGATGTGAAAAGATATTTTAGAATTTGGCAAAATGCATCAGAACAGTGGTCTTCAAACTCATAAAGTAGCAGCAAGCTTATCTCAAATGAAATGTCACAAGAAACCCCAACACAGGAAGCAGATCTAAGCTCCACTCGTGGGGATGCAGCTGGGGGCGGGTCTGAGCCACCTGTCAGCCACACTTCCCCTCGAGGTGCACCCTTGGCAGCTCCCCAGACCCCAAAGTGGGTGGTGGACACAGAAGGTGGGGAGGTTCGTGGCCAGGTGACCCTCCAATGGCTGCAATCCCCAAGTTCTCAGAGTTCTAGATGCTGGGACTAAAACTCCACTTTTTGTCCAAGAACAGCTTTTAATTATGATTTCTTGACTGCTGGTCACCGCACCTGTGGCAAACACTAATGCCAGCAAGTTGTCAGCAAGGCGGAGAAAAAACTTTAAGAGAACAAGCAGGTGGCTTCCGACCAGAACTGGAGTTTGGCTAAGTGTGAGGAGGCTGTGGGCTTCCTGAAGAAAGGACGGATACATCTGAGTGGAAGAGCAGAGCCAGAGGGGCACAGAGCAGGGGAAAACAGAAGATATTGGATAGCAAGATTTCAGAGCAGGGAGGGTGAAGAAAGGAGACAAGACTAGCATCGGTGGGAGGTGGGGGTGGCTTGAAACAACATTCACTGACACATTCAACAGGGATTTACCAGACTAGGCACTAGGGACCCAACAGAGACCAAAACAGATAAGCAGGCTGCCAGGCCAAAGGCAGTGAGGACGAAGGAAGCAGGGTAGGAGTAGATGACAGGGAACAGGAGAACACTGTTTATTAGAGGGTGGTTAATGAAGGGCTCCTTTATAAGGTACCATTTGAGCAGTAAATGAAGGAATGAACTGGGTAATACCAAGGGAAAGATCAGCAGGCAGTATTCAGGCAGAAGGAACAGCAAGTGCAAAGGTCCTGGGGCCATAGGTGCAATTCACAGAAGAGTGGAGGGGAGGTTAGGAGACCTGAGTTCCTTTTTTTAACTCATTCATTCAACAGTGGCTACCAACATGCCTACTACATGCTGGGAGTGCAAGGATGGAATGGTCTGTGCTGTGAAGGAGCTCAGTGTGGCTGGGAAGATGAAATGATGAGGCTGATACGCCATCAGGCACCCCGCACATGGATAACACATCTGCTCTTTACAACAACCCCATGAGCTCCATCCTATCATCATCCTCATTTACAGATGAGGAAGTGAGGTATAAAAATGTTGGCTACCACATCCTAGATGAGATCATACTGCTGATCCGTGGCTTTCACACCAAGTCGTCCAGCTCCCAGGCCTGTGCTACGCACCCCATCCCTTCCGCCACATCTCTCACTGGTGACTGGTGCTATGATAAGGGGTATCAACAAGGGAACCGGGAGACAGGGAAGACAGCTGACCAGCCTGAAGGACTGGAAAAGCCTTCACAGAAGAGTGCTACTGAGCTCGGATGTATGAGATGAAGCGAGTCCCAGTCCGCACAGAACCCACTGATTGTTGCATGATGCCAAAGCTTTGCTCCTGCTTTTCCCTCCACACGCAGCCTTTCCCCCCAGTGGTGTGCTGCTAAGTGGTTAACAACCGGCTCTCTGAGGGAAAATGTATGTGCGTACGTAGGTAGCTATGTCAGTTTACTGCAGATTTTACTGAGGGACACGTGTAAGGGACAGGTAGCACTCAATTTACATATAATAATACACTACACAATATTGTTTCTCACAAATTCCATTTCGCCAATGCTTGCATGGCATCTCAGGCACCTCACTGAATGCTTTCACTGATTTTCGCCCTCCTCTTAATCCATAGCCAAGGACTACAGTTCCAACATGGCTGCTGCTGGATAGTTTCGTCTAAGGGAACAGGTAAGATGAAACAGAACAATGAGGACGCATATAGGAACTTCACGTGAGCAACTGGGCTGAGTGAGATGATGATTTGAAAATCCCGAGAGACTATTTTCTCAATTATTTGTGCTAGTCACACTTTTAACTTTCTCCTGAAAAATGAACACTTTGTCCAACATCGTCTAGATGACATCTAGATGCTCTAGGAGACAACAAACCAAACCCCGACTGGTGGCATTTGCTGACGTCATGGAGTCAACGCCCCCTCCTGGCCGATTTCAAGCTACCGACTACAACCAACGTTCCTGAAAGTGGAACTGGGAAGGGATGTGCATAGTAGCATAACATTATATAGTATTTCTACTGCATAAAGAGCACAGAGGTTCTGTACTAAAAAGTTAATAATATATTTTGTTTTAAATACCACATACCTTTAATTAAATATAATTAGTATAATTACATAAATTCACATAATTTGACTTTTTCTTTTCTTTGGCTTCTTTTATACACACACACACACACACACACACACACACTTATATAGATTTGTTTTTATACAGATTTACATATTTATATTTAATATACACTTTATATATACTTTGTTTTTACATATATTTATATATTTTACATATTATATTTTTATATAATATATACATATATTTTTATAACATATGTAGGTATTATGTTATATACACACACAGGTATTGTTGTTTTGTTGTAATTTGACTTTTAATAGCTGTGTTTAATCACTGGCTTGTACATTTCCTATAAATTCGACAACTGACTCTGGTCCGCCACCGCCCCGCCTCTCCTCAGCCCTCTGGCCTGAAGGCCTGCTCTTCGGTGAAGCCTGCCATGGCACCCCTTCCTCTGCTGCTAACTCAGATTTGCCCCCATCTGTGTCACAATCCCGAACTGCTATTATGTTGCCTGCACCCGAAGCCCCAGCCAGGCTGTGAGGTATCCTAACAGCCAGCACAGGTTAGGTCACCCAGTACACAGGCTTCACCCCTGTGAGGGAGGGGTCTCAAGAGGGCCGCAGGTGGAAAGTTGGGGCAGGCAAAGGCTTGCATGCAGTCCGTGACGGGGGCCACACGTTTCCCACACGAATGTCATAAAAAGTGGCTGTTTGGGGGATGGATTGCAGCTCTGTCCTGTGACAATCTCATGCTGCCTCAGGACACAGGAACTCTGGAAGGGAAAGCTAGGCTTTCTACACCAGAGAAATTAATCTAAAAAGAAATTGCTATCAGCTCCTCTTTTGTTTCTATCCCAACTCAGGCTTTGCAAACCTTTTTAAATGATGAGGGAGAGGGAAAAGAGTGGGCATGGACAGTGCGTACAGATACCCACGGTCTCAACTCTGTTTTGGAGAAAGGTGGGGTATGATTACCTAACTGAACCTCTAGGAGTTTAGATTCCTAAAAGCTTCCACGGTAGGAGAATTCATGAGTGGGGAACTAAAACCCACAAAGAAAACACAGTTAGGGATGTATTTTCACATCCCCATAGGATGGGGTTGCTAGTGACTCTCTGAAGCTATTATAAATGATGGCATTAGATATCACAAAAAAAATAAAAGCAGCCCCCAAATACAGAGGATGCCAATGGCAGCATGCATTTATCAACTCAGTCCAGACCACAGCCGGTGCAGTTGGTCTCAGCTTACGCTCAGCCCAGACCACAGCCGGTGCAGTTGGTCTCAGCTTACACTCAGCCCCTTCCTCCCTGCAGCCGGGTGCCCTCGCATGAGCATGAGGCCCTCACACACCTGAGATTTCTCTCCCCTCTCTGACACACTACTTGATTTGCACCTGCCTGGGCCCTGTGTCTTACCAAAGCTCCGCTCCCTCTCCCGCCACCTACCCGCACCCTCAACCCACCCCCCCCATCCCCAGACCACCAGACGGCAGTTTAAAGGACAGGATTCTTCATCTCCCTTTGTCTTTTATCTCTTCCTATTCATCTGGGGCCTCGCAGCTGGGCCTCCACTCCCTGTCCTTTCTGCATCATCCCCACAGGAGGGACTTGCAGTTCACGCGCCCAGGTTCTAAAGTTCTCCTGGTTACAGGGGACAGCTGTTGCTTCTGCTTGCCCACCATCCAAGCCCTCCTCCTTCTAGAAACAGCACTGTGATTTTCCTTTGAGGAGCCACTTCTCTCCGGGTCCATAGGGTAGAGACCCTGATCCCAGCAACAAAGGCAGACACAGGACCTGTGCCTGGCCAATCAGCACATTCCACTATCGCAATTAAGAGCACCTGCCAGTCACAGCGGCAAAGAGGAAAGGGGGGTATTTCAGGACCTTGGGGGACTCACCCTCATCTGTGATGGTGCCACTGCTGGAGCCCCCACTGCTCTTGGACTGCCGATGGGACGAAGAGGACGACACCGAGGACTCGGCCGTGTGCCCTTTGGGTGAGGGGGAGGGTGTGAGCGTAGGGGAGGTGCTCTTGGAGGTAGTGGAAGTTCCAGACAGAGGCCTTTTGCTTGTCTCCAGTTTCTGCCGAAAAGAATAAGACAAATACGTAAGCCGTCATCTGGAGGGTAGAAGTGATTAAAACACACTCGACAGGGAACATGGGTGCTGACTCAGCAAGGTATCTAACCAGGACGATGAAACCTACTTTAAAACATATGCAAAGCAGAAACAGTATTGTCAGAACACTCACAGGAAAACTGTCCCCTGGAGCAGAGAGGCAGGGGGTAGGATGGAAAAAGTAGCCCTTGAGAAGCCAGGAACCTGGGCGCTAGTCTTGCCCGTATGGCTACGAGCATTGTGTCCTTGGCCAAGTCCCTTTCCCTCTCAGCTAACCCAGCTCTAAATGGAAGTGTGGCTTATAAATGCATGAAGTCCCTTTCTGCTCCTGACGTTCCTTCATCTAAACCAGTCATTGCCAACCTTCCACCAAAGAACACATGATTTTTCCCCTTTGTGTGTCATTTCGCTTAAAAAAAAAAAAGTGCCTTCTTTTTAAATTTTAGACTTACAGAAGAGTTGCAAAGATAGAACAGAGCATTCCCGTGTATCCATCAGACAGCTTCCCCTGATGTTAACAGCTTACATAACTATGGCACAATCATCCAAACTACCAAATTAACAGTCGTGCAATACTATCAGCTAACCTATGGACTTCACTCGGATTTCACTGGTTGTCGCACATGATGCCCTGATTCTGGTCCAGGGTCCCACGTTGCATTGACTTATCATGTCCCTCTGACCTCCTCCAACCTGTGACAGCTCAGTCTTTCCTTGTCTTTCATGACCTTGACACTGTCGAAGAGTTGAGGTGTTTGTAGAGGGTCCCTCAGTTTGGGTCAATCTTTTATTTTCTCATAATTAGATTTGCTCATGGATTTGGGGGTTAATGGCCCCAGAGGTAATGAGCCACTCTTACTGCATCATACCATTTCTTATTACTGATAACACTGTACCCATTTCTTATTACTGATAACATTGACCTTCATCACTTAGTTAAGGTGATATCTGTCCAATTTCTCCATGGTGAAGTTACTACCTTTTCTCTTTATAATTAACAAATATTTGAGGGGAGGGGGGTAGATTTTGAGCTAAATATCTTGTTGCTCCCAGTAATTTTAGCATTCTTCAATTGATCTTGTCTACAGCAAATACTACTGTGATGTTCTAATGATAGAAGATCTGCTATTTCCCTTACCTTTCACACTTATTATTTGGAATTCTGTAAGGAAGAGTTGCTCCTTTTCCTGTTTGTTCAGTTATTTATTCCTTATCAGTATGGGCTCATGGATATTTACGCTATTCTTTGGGCTATAATCTAATAACTATTGCTTTTTATTTTATGGTTGTTCAAATTGTTCCAGTTTTGGCCACTGAGATTTTTCAGGTGGGCTCCTACGTCCTTTCAACATGCCCACCTTTTTAATTTAATTCTTTTAAGGCCATCTCCTTTCCTTACTTTCTGAAACCATAAAATGCTTTAGGCTCATCTTGTATTTTCACTGACCCAGCACTGGAATAAACCACTTCTCCAAGGCCCTGGTCCCTTTTCTTGGAGAGTGGTATTTAGAAACCAAAATCTGGGTACTAGGTTGCTCGTGGTTACTGGGATGTCACTTGCTTGCAGGGTGGACAGAGCAAGGAAATAGAGTATACTGAGCCATGTATACACCAGCCACACTTACTACTTTATCAATCTGTGTATATATATATATACACACACACACATATTTATAGGCATGCATTCATATTGATTCATACCAACACCTCTGACAACAGTCCAACATCCATGGGGTTTGCTCAGGCATTTCCCCTTTGATTCAATCTCTGACAGTGAAAAAGGGGGCTCGTTATATTTACTTATTTGATCAACCCTAGTATAAATATAAAGTGTATATGTATACAAAAAGTATCTATGTGTAAAGTGGTTTCAGAATTTAACCCATATCCCTACAAGAAAAAAAAAATTATCAACTAGAGTACAGTGTTTAGGTACGGTTATTTGTCTGTATTTGGCCTTACCATATCCACTCGACACAGTTTTCCCCCACTCCCACCTCCCAACGTGTGCTTACGTCAGTCATTTGTAATACAGTTAGATCTGTTGTCATGGTCTGCATTCCATCTTTGGTTCCTGGTTCATACTGTTTTTTAAAATCTGCATACAGCACAAATAAGTTGGTTGTGTAAAATTCTCTGGGTTTTGATAAACGCAGAGTTGTGTACCACTGAAGAACAGTTCCATCACCTCCCAAATTCCCTTGTCCAGTCCTTTTCTAGTCACTCTCCCCCCCATCCTGACCCACAGAGATAAAGGATCTGTTTTCCATCCCTAAGGCTTTGTCTTAGAATTCTAAAACGTCACATAAATGGAATTATATAATATGTAGACTTTTGGGGCTGGAGCAGCAAACTGCCTTGAAGATCCATTCAAGTTACTGCACATGTCAACAGTGCGGTCCTTTCCACTGCTGAGCAGCGTTCCATCACATGGATGTACCACAGCTGGTTTACCCACTGGCCTGTTGACAACACGTCTCCAGTTTGGCGTGATTATGGAGAAAACTGCTATAAACAATCACAAACAGATTTTGGCATGAACAGTTTTTAAAAATACACTTGGGTAAATATCTAGGAGGGAGCTAGTCAGTCCGTATGGTAAGTGCATATTTAGTTTTATAAGAAACTACCAAACGTTTTCAAGGTGGCTGTGCTGTTCTGTACTCCCACTGGTATCTGCGTTCCAGTAGCTCCATATCCTCACCAACACTTGTATCTTTACATTTTAATTTTTTTAAAATTTTAGCCAGTCTATTAGGTGTATAGTGCTATGTTGCTGTGGTTTTAATTTGCATTTTCCCCAAAAGCTAATGTTCAACATTTTTCCATATGTTTATTTACCATTTGTGTACTTTTGATGAAGTATCCATTCTGCCTATTTTTTATAATTTGTTGGTCCTTTTGTTGTTGAGTTAAAAAAAATTTTTTTTTTAAATAGGTTCCATGCCCTAGTGTAGAGCCTGACGTGGGCCTGAACTCATGACCCTGAGGTCAAGACCTGAGTAGAGAACAAGAGTCAGAGACATAACCAACTGAGCCACCCAGGCACTCCTCTTACTGCTGAGTTATGGGAGTTATTTATTCGGTAGTGTAACTAGGCTATGGCTAGGTGTCTTCTTTTTGACATTTATCCTATAGTGTTTTCTGAACTTCCTGGACCTGTGATTTGTCATTTATCATTAATCTGGGGAATTTTTCAGGCATTATTTTAAGATATTCTTTCCATCCTATTCCATTCTTTCCACCCTGTCTTCGGGGATTCTTATTACTTGCATGTGAGAGCACTTGACACCCCACAACGGTTTTTTTGTTGTTCTTGTTGTTTTTATTTTTTAACTTCTTTTTGTCTTTGTGTTTCCATTTGGGTGATTTCTTTTACCCTGTCTTCCACTTCACAGACTCTTTCCTTGGCTGTGTCAAGTTTACCGAAGAGCCCATCAAAGGCAGGCCTGTCTCTGTTACCTGTTTTCTATTTCTAGGGTTTTCATTTGATTCTTTCTTAGAGTTTCCATCTATCTGCTGAAATAGCTACATGATCTTCCATGTTCAAATTTTCCATTAGAGCCTTTAACAATTAATTGTAGTTCTTTTAAATTCACTGGTAATTCCAACATCTCTGTCATAGCTGAGTCAGGTTCTGACGACTGCTGTGTTTCTTGGGAGTGCAGTTTTTCATGCCTTTTTGTAGGTCTTGTAATATTTGGTAAAGTTGGACATCTTAACTAGGATAGCAGGGGCTAAGATAAATAGTTTTAATGCATGGAAATGGGTACACCTCTCCTTCTGCTAAGCCTTTAATGCTCCTTCTAACTACATCCCAGAGTGGAACAAGAAGTCCCTCTCTTAGATTTTGAAAGATTTTTGTCATTTAGTTGCATATATTGTTAATAAATTCTTTTCTGCTTTTATATAAAGAAGGACATTCAATAATACAGCTTCTAATTAAGCAGGAGATAATTAGTATATCCCGACTAAACAGATCTAGCCCAGCTAAAGCAAAGAAACATAATACTCTGGATCTTGTGGGCTGCATTATTTGGTAGGGGTGGGGAGACAGATAAATATGATTATTTGGGATGCTCTGAAATATTTGAACTATTACCTGGGTTCCCAGTATAGCAGACTGATTGTGTTAATAGCGTCATCTCAATTCCTCCCATGTAACTCTGTGTGTTCTCCTACAGTGGGTGTGCTGACTTCTTAAACGACCTGATTGGTTTTCAACTCATGCCTTTGGCTGTTGTCATGAGAACGCACCTAAGTTTGTTGTTGGCACACATGGCCCAGTTATCCTGGTCACCCCAGCCAACAGCCAAATGTATAAGTGATCCCCCCCAGACCAGAAGGACTGACTAGCTAAGTCCAGACCGAAATGCTGACCCACAGGTTCACGAGCTAAAGAAATGCTTTTTGTTTTAAACCACTAGGCTCTCGGGTGGAAAGAGAGAGCTGATAGACTCAGTGGGACTCTGGGCCTCCAGAGGTCTGGGAAGCACTGACACACACACTGAAATGCCCCCCACCCCCCGATTTTCCTCAGGTTCACCTCAGGTTGATTCGTGAACATGGCAGAAGCCATGCCTTGACTATTCCACTACTACGGTGGTGCTTGTCTGAAGCAAAGTTCAAAAACCAGATTCAGGAGGCTCCTACTTTGAATACTAATTTCTAATTCTTCCTAGGGGAGTCTTTGACAAGCACCTCATGTCTCCACTTTGCTGCTGGAGCCTTGGACAGAAAGCCCACTCCTTGTGTCCTTTGATTTAAGGCAGCAGTTTCTGAGAGCCCTGGGCTGGGCTGGCTGCAATACTCTCTGGGGGTAAAATCAGACCCTGTCTTGAAGAGTCTCATTCAGTTATGCTGGGTGGAGCCCAGAAACCTGAATTTTCAGAGAGCTCCCCAAGCATATTGTTAGGAGTATCAGGTGATCACTGAACTGGATCGTTTCCCCAGTTTGTTTCCTGAATGCATCTTTTGACACAATCTCCTTTCATCAGAATATACTTGTACATAGATTATATATAATAGATGCAGCCGAGTGAGATAATAGTTAACTTATAATTTAGACGCCTACCTATTTTGGGAACACCAATTAAAGGAAGCTAACAATATCTAACACATCATAAGATCATCCAAATAGAAACAGAAATTCTTAAACAACAGAGAAGAGGAAAACTATATCAAAGCCCAGACAAGAAGACTTACTTTAATTAGTAGCTCTGAGTTTCCTAGCAGCAAAGGCAAAAAGAGAAATACAATAATTATATAATTCTTTTTATCTAAGGAAAGAAAATGTATGAAAGTATCAGTAGAGACATTTTTCTAGAGCTGAATATAAAGGGAACTCATTACACAGATCCTATTACACAAGTAATTTTCAATATAATGGAAAATATGCTAACACATAGGAACAGAGAAACTTTCTGGAGCTATATTATAATGGGAACCTAATTATGTATGTCTGATTGCAAAAGGGACTTTGAATAACCAAAAGTTATGTAACCAACAGTGGTGGGCAGAAAATAAAGATTATTTCTCATACATCCATTAAAACATAATCTCTGGAGGCATTTCTGGGCAAGGGTCCAGGGGTGAGGCTTTCATGTGATCTAACTTTTCTCAGGGAAAAAGCTTAAGACATCTAAGAAATATAAAGAGTGGGATAGTGCCTGGATGTGGGGTCCTCTCAGAGGACAAAATGGGCTACACTGAACCACTGGAGGGGGGCACATGGAGGGCCACGCAAACTCCACACAGAGACTAACCATGTGTTGACTGCTCTTGGGCTGCATCGATGGGGGAATGGTGCAAGACAGACAGGCGGGACTCCAACTCTGTCCTGCCTTCCAACCTTGCTTCAGCTCTTCTCCTCTGGAGTGCCTCACCCTGGGGCAGCCCCACCCCTGTCCCACCCCCGTCCCCATCCTCTGGCTCCTCATCCTTCCGACCCCCTGTAGGTGTCACTGATGCCGTCAGGCTTGGGGAGTGGCCTCCATCTGTGCCCCCACGGCATCCCCCCTTCTCACTGCCAGAGTCCGCAGTGACAGTCTGAGAGCCGTCACCCCCAGTCCACCGCCGCACCCTTACTGCTAGCAGCGCTAGGCACGAAGCAGACACCCCAGAGCCGTGCACAGTGAAGGAATAAGGTGGGAGCGTGACTACTCCTGCTGAGCATGTCAGCACTTACAGCTGCCACAGACTGGCCAGGGGCCGGGCCCCCCTCAAAATGCTCAAGTCTGGGGCTGAGATCTTCTCCCAGGCAGTCTGCTCCTGATCCCACGCTCCACACTTCTTGGCTCTAAGCCAGGAACCAATGTACACAGTGTGAGGCTGAATGAGGCACCTGGAGATACCCTGCAGATCAGGTGGGAGGCAGATGCACACGTGCAGGCAGCCGAGGGCACAGGGTGGGACCCCGGCAACCGCCAGCCTGATCCAGCCCTGCCCAGACAGCCTGGGAGCAGCCGGCTGCAAGGGGCCTGTCCTGAGGCCCGTCCCGTGCCCTCAGCACTGCCCGTGCTCCCCAGCACGTGAGCCACATGAGGACAGAACCCAAGAGGGTAACAGGAGGAGACAGAAACAGAACACACACCTTGCCACCAGGACCGCCACTGCCTGCAGGGGAGACTGGGAGTTCCGATGAGCTGGACCCTGCCGCTGGCCCAAGGGGACTTGACTGGTGGCTGGGCTTCTGCTCCGATAATCCGGCTGCTTTCTTCCTCTGGGCAGCAATTTGTGACAGGACACTGTCTATGCAGCCACCTGAGGAAAGAGGAACAGAAATGACTGCCAGGGGTCCAGGGTCCAGCAACAGGGGTGTGGTGGACTTTGTGTGCTGACCTTACAGAGCTGGAAACGCCTTTCCCAGATGCCCCCCTCACCCCATGTGGCTGTGGGTTCAGGCTGACCACAAGAGGCCTGTGCGTGAAAACCGAAGGTGGCGAGGACACAGTGGCCATCATGCTCCGAAGGCATCATGGTGAGAGGTGTTGAAAGAGGCAGTGCAGGTACGATCAGCTTGTCCTCGCCTTCCCCACGCCACAGCCAGCTTGTGCGGCCTCCCGCAGGCAGATGCCCTGGCCTGGCTGCCCACAGCAGTCCCCACAGTGCCCCTTCCAGCAGCCTGCCCGACCAGCGTGCGCCCTCGGACCCCCCTTCCAGAGCCTTACCAACACCACTCCCACAGCTGTGTCAGTAACTTCCTCACCCCGCAGTACTCAGTGGACTGCCATGTTCCCTTGCCCAGTTGCCCCAAACCCACCAGCAACCTTGCATTACTATGAGAGGACAGGAGAAAGTGATACTATCCAGGGCTAGAGAGGATCCAAGGGAGGACACCGATGCCAACGTCGGTGAGGGGATAACTAGGTGTCACATGCTGCTCTAAGTATTTCACGAGTGTGAACAGTGCCATTCTGCTGGGCAGAGGGCAACACTGTGAATTCACTGAAGAATCCCTGAGCCACATCAAGTAGGAAGACAGGGTGTGTACAGTTGCTCCTGGGACTGTCCACCGAGCAATCGTAGGGGGCCGTTCACACCCGCAGCCCCAGGGGACCCTCCCACCTCCCCTGAGTGGCCCTGCCTGGTACCCACCTGAGCGGTTATGCAGCTCCCCACCGTGCCTGCTCGAGCCCCCTACCCCACTGGAGCCACCTGAGGAATGAGGTGAGGGGTTGAAGTTCCCAGAACTGGCAGGAGAGGCGGGGCTTCTGGAGAGAGACGGAAATTTAACGGGCCTCACAGGAGTCTGCAAGAATAAGGCAGGTGTTGTGGTTAGGGTGTGTTGTTCCCTCCTCTGGGCACACATGATCGCAGCAGGGAGGGACCCGGATTCCACTGGCTCACCCTAGCTGATGCCTGTCGCCTGGCACACCCCTGTCAACCGGTGCTCAGCCCACCAGGAGTTCCCTAGCGAGTTCACTTCTAGCCACTGACAGCCAGACCATTAGCTCAGGCCATGCCCCCGTGACGTCGGTCCCCGAGTCACCCCACTTTCAGCATCACTCAGCCCCTCCCACAGTGCAGACTAGATGCAAGCCAGCCCTGCCCATGTTGAGCACCTCCAGGGGCCAGGCTCACTCTCCCGCTACAGATGTGCTATTGCAACAGCCCCCAGAGGCAGCAGTGAGCAAAGGTCAGCCCCGTTTTATGGACAGAGATGGGGGCTTTCAGGTCTTCTGGTCACTGATCACACAATGACAGCGCAGGGCCCTAAATCCTCACCTTTGGTTTGCCATTTACTGAATCTATGGTGTGGAGTCTACACACATGGAAATAACCTCCCCCAACAGGGACTACCTCAGGACATTACAGAGACACACCAAGGGCCACAAAGTCACAAGCCACTATGGGCAAAAAGCTACAAGTCCCACTCCTTGTGGTATAAGAAAATACCAGTAGTGCACATAGTTGCCTCTTAGTGTTTGCTCCTGGTCATGGACCTGAGCAATGATGTAATGTGGAAGTTGGTTCGAAACCAAGAACCTCACTCCTGGTCCCCGGCCCACGTGATGTGGCTGGGTGCTCTGCAGCAGGTTACTTCCCCTCTCTGGGTCCCAGTCTCCTCATCTATTCAAGGGAAGGCTGGATTAGATCAGGTCTTCAGGCTGTGCTCCTTGGAGCTCCAGGGCTCCATAGAAAAGGCAGAGAAGAGGGGCCCCCACTTTCATTCCCTTCACACTATGTTTCAATCTGTTTATAAAGTTAAGTCCCTTTGTAGGATGCATGAGACAAAAGGATAACACTCATTTAAAGGGAATTAAAAGCTTCGACCTTGCTGGATTAGCCGGTCTAAGGTCCCTTCTGCCCAAAACCCGCCGCAACTTCAGTGAGTGGTGAGTGACACGTCAAAGCACATCCACCGGGGTGACTTACAGCGTCTGTGCTCCCACCAGCCACGCCCACGGGGGCGCCCCTGCCGGCTCTCTGGGGCAGCACAGTCTTCACGGGCTCTGCCTTCCCGCTGTGACATGTCCGGGACCGATCGGAGCTCCACAGCTCAAAACTGGAAGGGGGTAAGAAAGGAGGGATGACTGCCTTCAGCTTGTCACTCGGGAGTCTGGGGAAGGGGGCTCCATTGCGAAGCTGAAAAAGACAGGCTGTGGGTTAGACAAGCCCCAGTGGGGCTCTTCACGGAACTCTCCAGGTTTCTCCTGCTTCTCAGAGAATGGCACCATCATTTACCCCCTCACCCCTCCCAACACACACCCGGCCAGGGTGATATCCTCTGCTCTCCTCCCGGCTACCGAGCAATACCCTCCTTTACGCTGCTCCAACCCCCAGCTTCTTTTGTGTCCATCAGAGCAGCTAGGATGGAGACAGAGGGGATGGGGAGCTGGGAGGGGACCAAGGGATGCTGAGTGTGCTGTGACAGGGACCCCGGGGGCTTGGGGAAAAGGGCACTGCAGGCCCAGGGAGCAGAATGCAGGCAGGCCTGGCAGCCAGAGGAACACGACGTGCGTGCAGAGCTGGGGGTCTCAGGAGGAAGGGGGAGGGCATGGCAGGGGGAACTGGGAGGCCTACGCTGGCTCTCTGTGAGCCCAGCAAACACTCCCTTCCCCATCCCACCCCACCCTTCCTACTCCATCCACACCTCCCACTGCTGACATTTTTAACTGTAATTTTGTATTTTGAAAATGTGATTTGGGGTTAGTATAAAATCCACACAAAGATGACTGGTGGATTGTCAAGGAAAAGCATTCACACAGTCCACACTAACTTTAATTAAGAAAAGACGGTGGACTTGGCACCAGATGGTGCTTTGCAGGGAAGGGCATCCCACAGCTCAACCTGCCTCAGGAGCCGGGCAGGCGTGTATCTCTGCAAGGATGGCTGCAAACGCCCACTCGACAGGGCTCCCTGGCCATCCTCCATCTGCTGAGGGGCAGGTCAGCACACTGCTGCCTTCCACTGGGCACGAGGAAGTGGGACAGGGACGTGCAAGGCGGGTGGCGGCTGGGCATCCTGGGTCCCACCCTGGCTGTCCTGAGCTCTTCTGAGAGTCCGTGAACGGTGCTGTCCCGTCGGGACCTCAGCAACCTCATCCAGCAATGGGGGATGGACTGGAAGAGGGCTGTAGACCCACCACAGATGGCATTTTCAGCCCTTGGGGACAGAGTCTAAACTGTTGCAAACTTTCTGGAAGGCAAGGACATTCACGCCCACTGACCCAGAAATTCTATTTCTAGATATTTACTCCAAGGGAACAATCAGGAAAGTGGGGGAAACTGAGGCATAAGACTATTCATCAGATCTGTGAAACAACAAAAAACGAAAAACCCCAGAGTCCAACAGGTGAGCCTTCACTGGTCCATGAGGCACATTCCCATGATGGAATGTCGTATCATGCAGCCATTCAATGCAATGTGGCTAAAGGGTGTTTAATGACACGCAACAGATGGTCGGACGAACTGGTAATAAGTCAGGCTCAGCACAGTACGGGGAAGAGAACAGTGCCAACCTCACAGGCAGGGATGCCGGGGAGACTGAATGAGCGAATATACGTTAAGTGCTCCGAATAGCGGCTGACACTTAGTAAGTGGGACGTATTTGCCATTGTTACATATGACGTAATACACTAGTAGATGCTAAAAAAAAATGGCTAAAAAAATACTCAAAAAGATATATAGCACAAAATGTCAGTCATGATCATATGCATCATCAACGGTGACTTTATGTTTCTTCTTTATACTTTACTGCATCTTCTAAAATTTCAGTAACAGCCCTTGTCTTCATACAAAAGTAATTACTGCTATTTAATGAGATTATCAAGTGTCAGGCAGCACAAGCTCCCACCTTGGTAAACTGGTCTAGAGACACGGATTCACACCTATTGCCTAGCAGGGCAGGGCGGAGACAGCAGATCCGTCAGCACTCAGCCCGTGGCGCCTGGAGCCCCTGGTCCCTGAGGCAGCTGAGGCCTTCTTTGGCCGGGGAAGAGGGGGGGGTGCTTCTGCTCCCTTCTCCTCTCCAATACTGCCCTCTCCTGGCCAGCCTCCAGATTAGGGTCTTAGAGCTAAATGGACTTGAGTTCAACCCCAACCAGGAGGCTCTCATTCAAACAAGAGCAACATGAGGCCCAGAGAGGTGAAGTCACATGTCCAAGGTCACACAGCAGATAACTGCAAGCTCATCTGGGCTAGGCACTATGCTAAGAACTTCCTGGGAATAAACTTATTCAAAGAAACAACCAGGAGGGATAGCATCTCTTAAGTCAAAGACTGCTAGCTATCCCCCGGTATCCATCCTTCCACATCTTCCTCAGTAGACACCCTTGGCATTACGATAGGACACAGCCACCTGGAACAGAGACTTCATTTCCCAGCCTCCCGTGCAGTGACTCCCACATGACCACATGCCGGCTGAACCGATCTAAGTGGAAGTGATGTGTCAGTTCCCAGGAATTTTTAAAGACACCTGTTTCTCCCCTCATCTCTCCTGCTGGCTGGAATGGGGCAGTGATGGCCACAGCTCTGGCAAACGTCTTGGTAACAGAAGCCAAGCATGGGTAGAAGGAAGCAGGTCCCTAACTCCATGGGTCAACTTACCAGTCCTGAGCTGCCCTTGAAAAAAATAAGCTGCTGTCTCATCTATGCCATTGTCATTTGAGGACTTTGTGTTACTCATAGCTGAACCTAATCCTAGGTTCACAGATGAGGAGACCGAGGCCTCTCGGGCTGGAAACACAGCCTCCTCTGTGACTCCTCTCCCCCTGACTCCCCATAATCAAAATGGTGAGTCCAAGGTCCCCCATCAAGTCCTACTGTTCAGAGTCCTGTCCTCAGTGCTGCTTCCCTGCGAACAGCATCAGGGTTAGTATCTGGCCACTAAGCACCAGCACAGCCTCACCCACGGTTTCTGGCTGGTGCTGATTCCCATTCCTCAGTGCCTGAGCTGTGCCCATTGTTACACGTTTCGATATCAACCCCATCTGTGACCACCACAAAGACAGACACGTCTACATCCAGCCTTGTAAATCAACCAACTCATGATTGGTAGAGACCTGAAATGCTTTTAGAAAAGCCCCGCACTCACCATGGTCGTCAATAACACATCTTCTTTGTCTCCTCTCATGCTCCCAGGACCTGAGAGACAAATGGAAATTTCCTGAAATGACCTTCCCCAACAAGTTCACGGCATAAGGATGAGTGACCAGGTCGGCCTTCATCCTGGAAAACCAACTCTCCTGGGGGATTAAATATTTAATAATAATTGGTATTCAATATTTGAATAGAAGGAAAGCATTTAAAAGGTATCTCTCAAAGCATATTTTCAGCTTTTCCATAAACCACTGCCATGCTGGGTCAGACAGGGGTGCACCCAGCTCAACAGTCTGTCTTAAACAGTGCTGCTGAAGGAGCTAGTCTGGGTGTGGGGAGTCTGGTAGAAGGGATGTGATCTAATCGATTGTCCAACCAGTGTGGGAATCTCCTTTGACACCCTGGCAAAGTCATCCAATCTGTTGAACATCTCCAGTGGTGGGAAGCTCACTACCCAACCCCCAAGCCCCCACTCCAGATAACTCATTCTATTTCAAAACCCTTCCAGTGCCAGAGACCAATCACGTTGGACAGGTGGGAAAAGCACCCATCAGAGGCAGGAGAGAGGCAGTGACTGGCCTCAGGTCCCTCAGCAGGGTGTGTGGGAGAGCGGTCAGGGACACTTGCCACCAGCATCCCCATCCTACCATGCCGACTGCACTGCTGTCCCTGCCTGCCGGTCTTCCCCCAGACCAGTCGCTTTGCTCCCGTGTCACATCCCAATAGCATCTCACCTCTGACATCAGCCCAGGAGGTAGGACAAAGGGCAGAGAATTTGGGTCTGGCCATTCTGGAAATTCCACAGCACATGCAGTGTTTTCTTACCATTCTCTTTCATTGTGGGGGCCACCTCATGAAGCCCCGGGCGGCCTGTCTTGCCCTGGGGGGCAGCCCGCATTGTGGAGTCCAGCGCTGACTCTGGCTCATCACAGAAAGGCAAAGGCTGGTTACTGCAGAGCCCACGGGGCAAGGTCTGTGTCAGTTTGAGCTTCCGGAACCGATTGGACATTCGGCTCCACCAGGACTGCCAAGGAAATGTCGAACAAAGGTCACACTCAGCCCCCAGATGGTGACTATACTTCACACATGCTTCCCCCTTGCTCTCCTGGGCACATGACAAGTTTTTCCAGTTGGCTACCGCACCTTCTCCCACAAAGCCATGGTTCTCTCTAAATCCCTCCTGACTCAGCCCTTAGGGGCCCACCTCTGATAGGGGACTGCATCTGCCACCCCTCAGCTCCCCAATCTCCACACTGCACAGATGGAGAAATGGAGACCCAGATGGGGTGCCAACTTGCTCAGTCTTACAGTGAGTCAGAGACAGACAGATGGACAAGTGATGACACCAAACACCGTAACATCAGTCACTGGGTAACCTCTTCCCCCAACTCCTGTGAGTGTGAGTGGTGCTGGGTGTCCACAGCAAGGCCCGGGCCATCTGCTCCAGCAGCTGATGCCACCCCACCTAGAATGAGGACTGGTGCCACCCCCCAGGGTGTCCCATAACCCCGTGACCGCTCGGAGGCTTCGACACAGCGGGAGTGGAGACCGGGAGGGCCTGGCCCAGGGAGACAGCAGCAAGCACAGGGCTGCAGGGACCCAGGCAAACAACACCGAGAGAGAGGAAGACCCGGGGCTTGCATGAGCTTGCATGAGCTTGCATGAGCTATGGACAGGAACAAAGGGCGGAGTGTGCAGATCTGCAGAGGCTCCAGAACCCCAAACAGGATAGAGGAGAGGGAAGTTTGATTTCAGACAAGTAGAACAGGATGGGGAGCAGAAATTTGAAGAAAAATACTCGGCTTGCAGTTAGAAATGAGCAACTGGAGGTTGTTCTGGTATTTCCAGAAGGCCGTGGATGCAGGCCCGTGGGCTGCAGGGAGACCCGAGAATGGCGCCAGCAGCAGTATCCCACGTGCAGAGGCAGTGCACACACGGCCTGGGAGGAGAGGCATTTGGTCCCCCTGATACCCGCCACGCTTACCACTCACCCCCAGCTTACTTCCCGCTCCTGCTGGGCAGTCCGAGGTCAGCAGGAACTGGCAGGCATCCCCCACCCCGTCAGCCTAACTCTCTCAAGCCCTTGAGGACAGGAAAAGGCCAACCTTAAGCCCGCCTTTGTCATCAGGCAGCACTGGGACACTCCAGGGCTGTCGGGCCTTCGAGTGGGGCAGAGGCGGTGGGTGGCTGGGCCGGCCTTTGTCTTTATTCACCCGCATGCAGACAGATGCCAGCAGTCGAACAAGTTCCGTGTCTATGGACACAAAAGGCAGCGCTTTACCTGCAAATACGTCTGTTGGGCCATGGGGAGAGGGCTCCAGGAGACCCCAGTCAGCCTCAGAACCCAGCCCTGTGCCTCCAGAGTCTGTTACTCCAGGAGCAAGGCCCCGCCCTCTCCATCTGGTCTCTAGGAGGTGGCAAACAGACCACGGGCTCCATCCACTTCACCAGAGAGAAAAAGCAGGAGCCCTCTCCCCATAGAAAGACAGAGGTGTGGTGTGGTTTAAAAGAATGGACTCAACAGTCGGATGGCAGGGGCTCCAATTCTGCCTCTGCCCCTCCCTGGCTGTGCAAGTGCAGGTAAATGAGGGAACCTCTTGGTGTCTCTGGAAAAGGGGTGACAGCATGCACCACATAAAGGTGTCTGGGGGATTCGAGGGCACTTCTGGCATAAGGTAAGGGCTTAAGAAAGGTTAAGTATTGTTATTATTACCTGGGTTACCAAAATAAATAAATAAATAAAATAAACGAAATTGAGAAGAAAATACTACAAACTATTAACAGTGTTTTCCTCTGGATGACTGTCTCTTTTTCTCTCTCCAAGTGTTCAGTAATAAGCATGTGTGTCTTCGAAAATTTCAGGCAAAAAGTTCGTTTAAAAACAAACCCACTAGGAAAAAAATCGACCAGGGAGAGACTGTCGTAATGCACAAGGGAATGGGGAAGTGGTCGGTGGCGAGGGAAGAGACACAGTGAGACACAAGTTTGTCGAGAAATGCACGCATGATGCAGGGGGTGGGTTCTAACAACACCAACTCTCGGCACGGAGTGCGCTCACTGGACTTGGGCAGAAGGCCCCACCTTGCCAGCTGGGTCAAGTCGTTTCCCCTGGCCCTGGTCACCTCCCCTCCACAAGAGGATATGCAGCTCGACTTCCCCTCACACGCCCTGCGAGGATGAAGTGGAACCACGTATGCACCTGAGACACGTGGGGCCTGCGGCAGGGGGGCTGGGGTGAGGGTGGCAATGCCGGCGACAAGGCAGGGCGCTCCGGCCTGCCACCCCATAGCCCAGAGAAGCAGCAGGGGTAACTCCACTTGGGACTACGCAGGTAATGCCCTCTCCCAAGGCCAGCAGGTTGGGATCTGGCTCAGGGCTCAAAGTCTGTGGGGCAGAAGGGCCTCCCAGCCTCTCTCTCTCCCTGGGCTGAAACTCCAAGGCAACAGGAGACAGGACAGACTCTGACCCCTGAGCTGACTGGATGCTTCAGGTCCCAGAGGAGGGCCTGTCACAGTGGGGGAGGGCCCAAGGGGACCAAGAAAGGTGGGACTAGGGACTGCGACAGCCCCAGCAGGGTGCCCTTGACCCAGCAGCCTCCACCTACACAATTCAGCAGAGGAGGCCACTGCTCCGTCTCTGACTCTGCTTGTCAAAGGGGGCCTTTTTGTTTCCCGAGTCAGGGTTTCTGGCTACGAAGCCCAGTTACATTCTGGGACTTCTGTGGACTGCTGAGGTAGATGTGTGTCTCGCTGGCCTTCCCTCTTGGGAGACTCCCCAAAGGCTGGAGCTGGAGAAACCCAGGGGATTATCTGGTGCCAGCCCAGCCTTTGCTGAGGAGGGAAGCGACTTGCCTGAGGACACGTGGTGAGCCCTTGGGGCTTGAGAGTGACTTCCCCCATGAATAAGCAAGGGCCGAAAACAAAGGTGATTCTCTCCATTCCTAGCCAGAGAAAGGCCGTGCAGGTTTACGACCCTTTTCCGGGAACAACCCACCAGGATCACTCAGGAGCATCACTAGGTCAAAGGCCGTGTACCCGTTTTTTGCACGAAGAGTGACATCAGCCCCTTGGTTTAGCAGATATTTGACAATGTCCTTATTCCTGGGGAGGAAAGAAAAAGCCAGAGTTAGACGCACTGAAAGCCAAAGCCTGGCTTTGCTCCTGGGAAGCTGCTATTAACCATAGTGCCCCACCTCTGAGCCAGGAAGAAGGGCATGGAAAGCTGCAAACGGCCTCACACTCCTACTTCCCCACCCCATGGGCAGGTCAGACCCGAATGTGATAGAAACCAAAGCCTAGGTGTTCCTTCCACAAACAAAAGGAAGACCATGTGGCCACCATGCCACATGAAGGTCCTGACTCCTGCCCCAAATCTGGACCCGCGCACCATGGAAGCCCCACACAGGCCGAGGTATCTGATGCAGAAGCCTGAGGCTGACCAAAAAGGAAGACAAACTGCTTCGAGATGACACAGGAAAGTGCTGTGATCACTTGAAACAGGGCAAGGAAAGGGCTGGTAATTTGGAATCAGACCACCTGGCCGCTGCAAGACGGTCTGCAGCTCCTGGCCTCTGGGCCAGCCTACCTGGAAGAGGTGGCCTCCAGGACAGGAGGAGAAGGGATTCAGAAGCACCAGCCAATGGTGGCGCCTATTCCAAAGGAGAGAGTGAGAACAAGTCTCACTGCCGGGTGCCGAGAAGCCAATGATATGAACGGCTGATGTTCATTTCCAACGGGACATGGACATCAGTGTGAACACTCCAAACAAACCGACCACTGTTCCACTGAAATCAACCTAGAGAAGCTTATCTGCCTGCATAAAACGTTCCTGCTGCATGGTTTTTATGGCCACTGGTGAGTTCTGTGCTGAGGTCACAGGCATCAGGACACAGAAGAATAGGAATGCAGGGTAGATGAGCCTGCGCTGCTTTGGTTTTTTGTGTGTGTGCCTGAAGGGCTTCACAGCCCTCGAGTTCATCTGTAGTTTCTTGGGACCAGAAAAGCCCATCAAGACCCCTCTCTTGGCTCAGGGAGTCGTCAGCCTCCCACGGAGGGAGTAGGGCCAGCACTGACCCGTGGTAGGTGGCCTGCATGAGGGCCGTCCAGCCGTGCACGCTGTCCTGCCTGTCGACGTCAGCATGCCTCTCTAGCAGCAGCTGCACCAGCGGCAGCTGCCCCATGACAGCTGCCAGCATCAGCGGGGTGGCCCCATCCCCGTTGACCAGGTTCACGTAGTTGGGGTCTTCGTCCGCAATCTCTTTGACCAGCTGGAAGTTTCCTGCAAACAGAAGCAGGAGATCTGGTGATCTGGGGGCCCGGCGCAGCCGAATGACTTATCCAGCAGGTTTCGGTAACAAACTGGTGCTCAGCCTGCCTCTGCACTGGGCTGCTGGGCATCAGAGGGGCAACAAAGGTCAGGAAGAGGGAGCCCCCACCCTCAGATCTCTCCATCTGTAAGGGTCGGAGGCAAGCACACAAATGGTTTTTCTAAAACAGAGAAGTGTTATTGATATCCTAAGAGAACAGATGAAGGAAACATGAAGGGCAATGTACACGCAGAGTGCTCAATCTCCCTGGGAGGTAAGGATCAGGGAGGGCTTCCTGGAGGTGGGGTCTACATCAGGAGAGATTTTCAGCTTCATCACAGAGAGAGTGGAGTAGGCAGGTAGGCAGTGAGGCATTTCAGAGGTAGGGAAAAGCCAGAACATAGCCACGGGGTTTGGCTGGGGGGCTGGGGCGGGGGCTGGGAGAGCAGTCTGGAACTTGTGTATAAAGCACCATAATAACTACCGGTCTCCAGGGGCTGAACCTCCCTGTGTGAAACTACCAAGTTCAGGAAATAACAAAATGCCTGTTTCTTTCTCAAACACTCTGGGTGGCCTTGAAAAGAACTACAAATACTAGGTTGGGAGAATGTGTCCCTATATTCATAAATCTCCAAAAAGATTTTCTAAAACGCTTACCCATTTTCAATGCATGGAAAATATCAGGCCGCCTTTTCTCCTCATCTAGGTAAACAAAGATTTTAAAAGTTAACCACAAAAGATTTAATAGAACAGAAAAGTCACACGCATGTAATACAGCCTAGCTTTAAAAGTGATCTACCTTTCAAAAGCAATCTGATCAGAGACCCATGTAACAGACAAACCCTGCAGCCCTTCTGGAAGAGTTATTCTCAGAGTGTCCACAAATGCTCCAGAGATAGATCTCGGGCAGTCATCTGGCCAGCAAAACGTGAATAAGCAGAACATTTCCTGATCCCACACCCATAAAGCAATCATTTGGTGGCATCCCAAACTCTGGGATGTCCTCTCTTAGATGTAATGGAAAAGTATAGTCTTGGAAAAATCTGGATCCTTATGAAAATTTTTTTTAAAAAGCGATTCTCTTCTACTAAAAACTAAATGCACAACCTTGAGATAATTCCAAAGCAGAGGGCTGCAGAGACACTGAGCAGCTGAGCCCAGGCAGAGGTCATGGACATGGCCACCAGAAGAGCCAATGTTCAGTTTTGTTTTTTTTTTTAAGATTTTATTTATTTATTTGAGAGAGAGAGAATGAGAGATAGAGAGCACGAGAGGGAAGAGGGTCAGAGGGAGAAGCAGACTCCCCGCCGAGCAGGGAGCCCGATGCGGGACTCGATCCCGAGACTCCAGGATCATGACCTGAGCCGAAGGCAGTCACCTAACCAACTGAGCCACCCAGGCGCCCCGAGCCAATGTTCAGTTTTGTTCTCCTTCTCAAATAAGACGCAATCTGAACGACTCTGAAAGTCAGCCCTGCCCCAGCCTTGCAGACGTGGACCCTGCAGGCTACTGCCCACCTGATGTTTTCATGCTGGTCTCTGCAGCGCAGCTGGGACGGGGGCCCACGCCTACCCCCAAACCGGGGCCTGGCTGTACCCACCCCATGCTCGCCCCTCCCTCATCTGCTCATCGGCTAGCAGGTACCGGTGCTACTGTCAGAAAGCAGACATCCTCAGCAGCAGCCCCCTTGCAGGTGGCCGAATGTAAGACTTCCTGCAGTCTTCGGCTAACTCCTGAGATGGAGTGGCTGTGAAGGAAACCTGTAACTCTGGGCTAAATTTCTGGTCCAGGTCAGTCCCCTCAGGCAGCCGAGAAGAAGCTGCAGCCCAGTGCAGGGATCACCAAGTCTGGAGTGAGCATATCAGAGTTTGAGTACATGTTTCCAGAATGATCAGTCTCTTCATCAACAACAGGAGGATAACACGCTAATATGGGGACCACACGGTGGTTGCAGAGATCAAGAATACAGATGGGAAATGCTCCAGAAATCCAAACAGCAATTTTTGTTCTCTTGACTAGTGACTGGCACCCACCCCAGAAAGGGTATTCCTTAACTCCAGCGTTCTTATAGAGACGTACAGACAGGGCCATGGAACCAAGTGTCTAATTCTGCTTGTGCAATACTATTAAGGAAGGATTCTGCATCTTAGTTTTAAATATGTCACATTCCTTTAAGTGTGTAAGAGTCTAATTTGCTGCGGACAGAGCCTTCTCATGCCAAGACCCTTTGAGGGAAAAGTGTGTCATCTGGCCTGTGTGTTCGTTGCTAAGCAACCATCTGACACAAAAGAATCACTGACCTCTAGCCTGACCCCAGGAGGCTGGGGCAGCTGTGCCACTGATGCCAAGTGACCCTGGCTGGTCCCTTCCTCCTTCCAGATGCCAGTGTTGGCATCTGCAGCAGAGCAGTTCTGGGGACCCTGCCCAGCCCAAGGAATAACCACGGTGGCAGTGGGGGTGGGTACCCTGTCCTGTAGCTAATGCGACGGAGAGAACTGGGGGTCTTCCAGGCAGATTTCTTGGCATCTCACAAAAACAGCTAGGGGTTAATGGTTATTTATTTAATAATCTATCATTGATAACGCAGCTCTTGCCCTTGCTGCTGTCCTACCCAGAGGCTCTTCCCTGAGATCCTGTTTGGAGCACTCCCTCAGCTCCTGCACGTCAGCTGCCATCTCACCTGCTCCAGGAGGCCACCCACCAGGGACAGCCTGCATTGCTCCAATCACCCCTCCCAAACCTCAACCTTGCCCGCCCCCCCCACCAACCAGGGCACTGCCCACCTATAGTACTATGGATTTAATGTTTATTTCCTGTTTCTTGCCTGTCTCCCCTATAGAGGCCAAGGTCTTCATAGGCAGAGGGCACATTGTTCTAGAGCAGGGGTTGGCAAACTACAGTCCTGGGCCAAATCTGCTCCCCAACCTGTTTTGGTAATTAGTTTTATTGGAACACCACCATACCCACTCATTGACATATAACATATGGCTGTTTCACTCTAGCGGAATTGAGTGGTTCTGACAGAGGCTGGCCCACAAAGTCTAAAATATTTACTCTCTGGTCCTTTCCAGAAAAAGTCTGCTGACTTCTGTTCTAGAAAGATCCTAGAATGTCCTGCATCAGAATCACCTGGTTGGAAAGGAAAGGCCTTGCTATGGGGGTTCCAGGCTCTTCCCACAGATACCAAATCACTCTAGAGGGTGGCCCAGGAACCTGCAAGTAATAGGCACTCCCAACTGATTCTTATGCACAGCACATCTTAAGACCCACTGTTCCATAGGCCAGACTCTGATTTGTGCATGCCCTCTGGCCAGGCGACCCTCACCTTCTGTCATTTAAACACAGTTTAGGGTCCTCTGTGAAGCCAGGGCGGGGAAGGGAAGGGTTGGTGGTGGCACAGCCTGACCTGTCTTGGGCCTGACCGTGGTCAGTGGGTCCAGGTAGTCTGCAAGGTCCCTGTGCTTGCGGTCAAGTGCAACCTCGAAGGCGGTCTTCTCCAGCACGCTGAGGTGGTCAGGGTTGGCCCCCTTCTCCACCAGCTGCTGGGCCATGCCAAGCCTCCCGATGAGCGCCGACAGCATCAGTGGGCTCCAGCCCACAGTTCGGGCCACGCAGTTGGGGTCAGCACCCCACTCCATCAGCAGACGTACCACGGCCTCATGACCATGCTGGATGGCAGCCATCAGGGCTGTGATGTCCAACAGTTCGTCCCTGCTGTCCCCTGCTCCCGGCTGCTCGCCTGAGGGGTTGTGATGGTCTACAAAGGCACCAGCTTCCAAGAGCAGCTTCACCACACCCAGGTGGCCACCCCGAGAGGCCACAGTGAGCACACTGGCCCCTAGCCGGTTCTGGGCATTGACATCAGCCCCATGATCCAAAAGGAGGTGTGCCACGCTCACGTGCCCAAATCTGCCAGGAAGATGGAGAATTAGTGACGCTAACATGGAGCAACGACATGGAGACAGCTTATGTAATCCTCATTTGTCATCAATTATTAAAGCCATAATAGCTACTTATAGTAAAAGGTCTTCTTCTGGCGCCAGGCACTGTGCTGGCCCCACATGTCCACCATCACAAAGGTGAACAACTGCTCTGTCTAGGTTCAAATCCAGCTCTGCCAATCACTAGCTGTACAACCTTGAGAAAGAACTTTAGCTTCTTCATGCCTTCATTGCCTCATCTGTAAAATAGGGATGTAATTGTATCTACTTCAAGGGTTGTTGAGGATTAGATGAGTTACTATATATAAATATATAATATATACAGCACTCAGAACAGTGCTTGGCCAAAGGAGCACCGCGTAAGTGTTAGATGTTATAATAATCATTTGACCTTTTATGTTACACTAAGTATCAAAGTCACCCAGCTGGTAAGAGGTGGTGTCAGGGTCAGAACCCAGGTCTCTCTGAATCCTGATGCCCTCACTCTTTCCCCTATACCATGCTGCTTCCCACATCTCAGAGAGTTCATTTTATTCAACTTTGTAGCCTTGTAATCTACTTTTCTGCCTGTGCTGATTCCCATGGGCAGGGCTCATGTCTGACTCATGTCTACCCATCCCCAAACACACACAGAAGGTCCTTCAAGATGAGCCAGTGCACCCCATGCCAAGAGGTGTAGCCCGGCTGTGGTCAGGCACCTCTCACCAGAGGCCTGCTGCCACCTGCTGGCAGGAATGTCCGCTACCACGGGCTAAGAAATGGAGCTGGGCGGAGCCCTCCACCAGGAAGCTTGAGCCCGCCTTGGAGACTGGCGACCGCCAACCAACTCCACTACCAGGAAAACAGATGCCGCTTCCCAGCAAAACCTCTGCCTTCTTTTGCCATCAGAGGGCAGAAAAGATCTGTTTGGCAGGGTTTTGGTTGCTGCCAGAGCTCTGGGCAGCGAAGTGTCAGGGCTGGAAGGAGCCTTGGACTAACGGGGGAAGAATGACCAGAGACGGACCATAATGCCTGCATAACGTCCGCATCTGCGAGGCAGCGTTCTGAATCTCTTGTTGCATACCCCCCCCCCAGAAGTGAGTTTTGTACCTCCTATAAACCTAGGGCCTCCCTTCTCCCTGTGGAGGCAGAGCCAAGGCCAAACTCTGATCTGAACTTACAAATACCTTCAGAGACATGAACCTTAACGGCACCAGGTCACCTCAGCGTCTGGAGGGAGAGCTTGGTGAACGGGCTCCTCCAGCTGTAGGGGGACCGGGCCTGTCCCTCCTCTTCTCCAAGAGCAGAGAGGGAGCAAATCAAAAGGACAAAAACTCAAATGCAGAAAGCTGCAACCCCAGCCTGTCCCCCTGCCTGCCTCCAGTCTTGTTCCTTCCTGCCCATGCCCCATGGTGGGGTTGCCTCAACCTAAAATGACATTCCCCAAACCTGATGGCCACTGCCCGGCTTCCCACTGCCTGAAGAGGCCTGTCCACCCTGGCTGGGCCAACGTCATTTCTGCCCAACCCCCATGTCATCCGCTCCACGCTGGCCTGTGCCCACCAATTCTACTCCTCCCACAACTTTGCCTTTGCCATCCTGCCTCTCCGCCCAGAGTACCCTCCTGTCCGCCTCTCGTAAGTATACCCTTCATCCTGCTTCAGGATTCAGCTCAGAGCTCACCTCCTCTGAGCAGCTTCCAGAACCGCCCCCCTCATGAGTTCAGATGCCCTTCATCTGGGCAGGCAATCCCCGGTCCTCGCCTCTAGGATGCGCCTGAGCCTTCCTTCTACCATTATGTCTGCTTGTTAGACCGTGTGCTCTCCGAGGACAGGAATGGTGGCTGACTGACAGTGGGGCTCAGGGTCAGTCAAATGAATGACTGCCATAACCAAGTAGAGGACGGTCCGGAGACAGGCCATGGAAAGGACTAAAGAACTCATGTATCCTCCATGGAAGTAGAAAATTTTTAAAAACCACACCTATTTAGTTATCAAGCGTAAAATAAAATCTAGTATAATTCCTCACAGCATATTAAAAGGTATTGTCACATTTTTATCTCATTTGATCTTAATAACCCCTGAAATAAACTGATAATGCCCATTTCACAGATGAGGAAACTGGAGATTTGAATGGAAAGCAGAGCCTCTCCTTTTGAAAGTGATAGAGTCAAAACTTGAACCTAGATCCTAAAATCCCAAACCCCAGCTCTTCTGACATAAAACATTATGAGACAGAAAGAAAAGGAGAGAATCTGAGCATAAATGCTGACATTTGGAATACACTCTGAACCCATGGGTAGCCCAAGAGGTCATTCAATTAGGCTGAAAACATAAAAGAATTCAAGGAAGGCTGAGATAATTTTGTGGATGCTAAGTTTCTAATAGGTAATTACTGAGGACAGGGAAGTGTGGGGCTTTCTGAACAGCTGCTGTGATTACCAATTAATTTCAGCAATTAACACCTGTGTTTAAAGACCTGGCACAAACCTACCACCCAAAGCACTGGGCGGAGAGGCCACACTGGCAGGCAAAGAAATGAAGGGCAGGAGAGGGAAAGTAAAGAGGCCAAGGATGAAGTTAGGGCCAAAGTAAACACCACGCATGCAACCTGTCCCTTTAGCATTTGGCCAGTTTGGCAAGGAGCGTCCCTGTGGCCAACACCAAGAGGAAACAGTCGGTTACGGGATTTGTGGCCGAGAGCAGAGGCTGGGAGCACAGGCTCTGGAGCCACCTGCGTAGGTGTGAATGCGGCTCCGCCACTTACTAGCTGTGTGGCCTTGGGCAAGTTAACTCTCTGAGCCTTAATTCCTCATCTGTAAAATGGGGATGGCAACAGTACCTACACAGCCTAAGGTTTCTGTGGATTGAATGAGATACTTCACTTAAAGCACTGAACACCGTGCTTGCCACAAAAAGTGCTCAAAAAAGCTTATCTTCAGAATCGGATAAAAGATGAGTGTAACCATTTCTGATACTAGAACACCCACCAGAGACCCACCAGAGACCAAACTGAGGGGTGGGTGGGGCCTAAGACGATGGCCAACAGGGGTGAGCAACTTTACCAGAGTTCCTTCCCACCAGCGCTTCAAGTCCTGCTCATCCTGCTTCCTGAGTGTATCTCAAACATCTCATTGCTCACCACTGCTGTCTCTGCTCTGGTCCAAGCTACTGTCACCTCTCCCTAGACTGCTGCAATCCCCTGTGGACCAAGCTTTCGGACACTAGCCCATCCCTCCACTCTGTATTCACACTGCAGGGAAAGTGATGTTTCCAAAACATAAATCTGATTCTGTCACTCACTCTGCCTAGAACCTTCTATTACTCCCCAGTGCCCTTAGGAGAGCTCATCTTCCTCAGCCCTGCCACACAGCATCTGCCTCCTCTCCAGGGGAGGCTCCTCTCCCACTACTTCCAGCCCCCTCCTAGCACTGACATTTTTCTAGCAGTCCTACCAATGCCTTATGTTCGTTTTTGCTTTCAGACCTTTGCGTGGGGCCTCCTATCACCCCGTTCCCACCTCCCACTTCTTCCGTCCTGGTTAATTCTTATGGAGTCTCCACCTGAATACATACATCATTCTTACCAAAAACCTTCCTCCACTTCCCCAAACCGGGTCTGCCATCCCCTGCCCTTTCCCCATCAAGCCTGATCTCTTGTCTGGCCTGCCCACTGGCCCCTGAGCTGCGCCTGGTGGGGCTGTGCCTGTCTCCCAGGGTCCCCGTCACCCAGGCTAGGGTGGGTAGGTAGGTTCTTAGGAAACTCCTGTTGCAAGAAGGAATGAATGAACACCCCTAAGATGATGCGTCTCTAAGATTCTATTCAACGCGGTCTTCAGACTGTTTCGAAAGGCCCATTGTTTCAAAGATTCTGATTTTATGATCAAAAAGCGCTCCCACTTCTTGTAGTATCCCAAGCTGCTCAAAGTTCACCATTCAGCTCTCTGGCACGAGTCCTTGACTCTTTACCTCCCGGGCCGTCTGCAGGGGCGCCAGGCGGGGCCGGCCACCTGAGCCCGCCTGGCACCGGGGACGGCCGGCCGGCCACCACCCCTGGGGATCCCGGGCCCCTCACCTGGCTGCCTGCATGAGCGCGCTCCAGCCGTAGTGGTTGCGGCTGTTGACCGAGGCGCCGCGGCGCAGCAAGAAGCGCACCAGAGGTTCGTGGCCGCCGGCCGCGGCGAACTGCAGCGCCGTGTTGCCCGCCTCGTCCGAGCAGTCCACGGGCACTGGCGCTCCGCCCGCCGCTGCCGCCGCCCCGGGCCCGGCCGCCTCGGCCCCCGCCGGCTCCGCGCCCGCCTCGGGCTCCGCGCCGCGCTCCGCTGGCTCCGCCACCCCGGCCTCCAGCAGCCGCCGCGCGGTCTCCGTGTCGCCCTGGTCGCAGGCGCGCAGCAGCAGCTGGAAGGCCGGGGGGAGCCCGCCCTCGCCCATCGCGGCCCGGCGGCCAGCTCTGGTCCGTCTGGCCCGGCCGCGCCGGCTCCGCCCCCGGATGCCGCGCGCCAGCGCCCCCTTCCGCCCGCCGCCCGCGCGCCTACTGTGTGCCGGGCGCGCGCCGGGGGGCGGGGCCGCGCGCCTACTGTGTGCCGGGCGCGCGCCGGACGCCGGGCCGCGCGTCCTCGCCGCGCGGGGAGGGACTGAGAGTTCCGGGAAGCACGGAGCGCCTGGGCTAGCGGGCTCGCCTCTACCCGTGCGGCGGACGGTGGCGGCCCTCCCCGGCTGCTCCGGGGACTTCCTGCCCCGCGCGGAGGTCGGAACGGCTGCTCCAACCCACTCACGCTGCGAGCTCGGAACCACCGGGTCTGGGTCCCCCGCCACTCGGGCCCGGCCTGTGGAGCGGCACCGTCTCCTAACCCGCCCGCGCCGGGCGCTTAACCGCAGCTTCCCAAATAGTTGTTGGCTCGGATGGGTCCACTCTGTACTCCGCCCCCGGGACGTCCTGCGGAGCCAAGCGCCTCCTGTACCTCCTCTCTTTTCATCAGTGAATCTTGAATAGGCACCATTTGGGACAGTGTTACAAATGCAAATTTCCTGACCCCACCCCAGACCTACGGGATCAGAAATTCGGCAGGTGGGGCCCAGCCATGTGTATTTTAACAATCCCTCAGGGTGATTCTGGTGCATACTAAAGTTTGAGACCCATGTCTGATCCTCGCAGCATCCTGTCAGTCACCAGGGAGGGCTCAGGTGACCACCCCCAATTTACAGAGGAGACACCTGAAGCTTAAGGAAGATTAAGTCACCCGAGTATCCTGCAGGAGCGCTGTGACTGGGACCCTGGTCTCCTGTGCTCTGGTCTCAACAAATATTTATGGAGTGCCAGCTATGCACTGTTCTAGGTGCTGGAGAAGCTGAAGGAACAAGATAAAATCCTTGCCTTCCTGGAGTTAACAGTAGAAAAAGCAAGCTGTAAATACACGAACAAGTAAGTAACTTGTACGTGTGTTAGTGATGAGCGCTATTGAGACAATAAATAGAGCATAACCTGAGTCCAGGTAAACAGGATAAAGGATGGGATGTTATTTTATAATAGGATGGGTAGAGAAGGTGTCACTGAGAATGTGATACTTGCACAGAGACCTGAAGAAATTGAAATAATGGAACCATGCTGACATTTGGGGAGAGTGCCATCCAGGGAGAGGGGGAATAAAAGCTTCTAACTTGTTTGCAAACTGCTTACAACCGCCTGCTCCTTGTGATAACATTAACATTCTGATAAGGGGTAATTGGCTTCCACAGACTCCGCGCTGTGGTCCGAAAACCTAGCAGAAGGCCAGATACAGTCGGTGTGTAAATGGCTAAGTCGCATATACATAGAATTATAACACAGATCAGCACTTGATGAGATCCTGAAGAAGGAATAAGGGTCATGGCATTGGCAGATCAGAAAAGATGATAATACCGTTACGATCTGGGCCAGCAGGGCTGGAAGAAAAAGTCTTCTAAGCAAAGCGTAAAGATGAGGAGAAGTCTTGAAAGTACAGAGGGCTCAGATTGCCGAGGGCCAGTGAATGCCAGGATGAAGACTGTGGGGCTTATTCTGTGAGTAATGGGGAGCCATGGAAAGTGAGCAGGCGAGTTACAGGGCTAGAGCTAAACATGTAGGCCCAGTTTCTGAGGTGGTACACTCTCACTCACTTCCAGATTTGGCCTCATTCACCAAAGAGGTGAGGACGATTTCCTTTTGAAGGTCTAATGAAGGCATTTGTCTCTGTGAAAATCCTGAATAATTGCATCCTTTTTAAATTCTATTTATTCGGCTTTTTACTAACTAGCTGTTTCATTATAAAAGTTATATGTGTGGTAAAAAATAAATTCCAACAGTATAGAAGGACATAAGGCAAAAGTAAAAGCCCCTTTCCCTCTTCTCCCAACTTGCCTGGTCCCACTCCCCATAGGTAACCAATATTCACATTTGTTTCATCTTTCCAAGGGTGTTTCACATGTATACAAACATGCATACGTACATATAGGCATTGGTCAACTTTCTTGATTGCAAGCTATAGAAATAAACCCTCTGGATAATTTCAGTAGAAAGGGGATTTAATGCAAGTTTCTTTTTGTAGCTCACAGATCCCATGAGGGCCAGAGAACCAATCTTGGAAGGCCCACAACCAAGAACGATGCACCACATCACACCATGGCTACACCCTATACTTGGATGGAGTCTGCACAGGCCCTTTTTGGAATTACCAGCTCCAGAGCGAGAGCCTGAGATGAGAGCGTGTAAATGGCTCAGCCTGGGTCACATGTTCTGCCTGGCAAAAAAGGGAGGGTGAGAAAGTGCATTTCTGGCCTTCTCAGCATGTTAGCAGAAGGCAGCCTCCAGGATAAGTGCCCTAGAAGGTAGGGGACTCTCCAGAATAGGGAGGGGGTTCAGATACTGGGCAGCCAAAAAGGATAACAAATGTCTACTACAAATATTCCCTCAAGAGTGAATATCTGCTGCTTATACCTGCCCTGCTTCTCCAACTCTGGGAAGAAAAGCCTCCTTTCTTTTAGGGAGCCTCCCTCCCCACTCTCAGTCTGTCTGGCTCAGTGGTTAGCATATGTCCAAGCCCATCCTAATTGCTTCAGCCCAGGAGTTTTTGCTAAAGCAATTGGGAACAAGGGTTTCTGTGCTCAGGTTGTCAGCTGTCAGGGTGTCTGGATGTTGTAAGCCACACTGTGCTTGCCCTGCCACCACTTGAAGACAGTCTGCCTAGGGGTGAAGCAGAGACAAGTGATGGAAAGAGATGGAGTCGGAAAATCCTCACAGCTCCCCCCCTCCTCCCCCATTCTTTTTGGTAGGTTTGTTTTGAGCAGGGTTGTCATCCCCTGCAATCCCAGCCTTCACAAATGCATATTTTACTTTTTGAATGAATGAAGTCATACTATGCAGCCTATTCAGAATCTTACTTTTTTAAAAAGATTTAACAAATAGCTTGGGCATCTTTCCACGTAGGTGAATATAGATCTACTGTATCCTTTTTAGTGCATGTAACACCATTAAGCAGACGTACCCTAATTTATTTAATGATTTTTTAATGATGCACAATTAGCTTGTTTCCAGTGTTCTATTATAAAAAAAATCTTGCGCTGACAGTGCTTATAGCAGTCAGGGTCCCAGCAGGAGACAGATGGTACACTTGGCTGGAGAAATGAGGACCATTTACTAAAGGACTAATTACAGAACTGTGGGCAGAGTTTACTAAGAACCACCAGAGCTGGTGCAGTACTCCAAAGCTGCTAACAGTGGGGAGCCATTGCCACCCCAGGCCTGAAGGGGGAAGGGAGAGGAGCAGTTACTGGAATTCTGCAAGAGAGAAAATGGAGACTTCTGGCTGATAGGAGTTAGGACCTTTGGTAGAGGGACACAGCCAACCTACGGTAACCTAGTAGGGAACAATCAGCAGAGGAATAAAATCCTCTGACGTCCCCCCCACCCCGCCCTCTAGTGCTCCTCCTTGGCCAAACCCAACTGTTAGCTGAGGTTTGAGCCTACTGCTGTGGTTCCCACTCCCACCCCCAGTCATCCTGCCAGGGTTCAGAGCAGGGAGGAGACTCAGTGGTGCATATAAACATTCCAGCACCTTGCTGCTCAAAATGGGGTTCTTGGACCAGCAGCCTCAGTACCACCTGAGAGCTTCTTAGAAATACAGCATCTTGCATCCACCCCAGACCTACTGAACCAGAATCAGCATTTCAACATGATCCCCAGGTGATTCACATGCACATAGTTTTCAAAGCATGAATCCAGCACATCTTTGTACACAAACCTCTTATACAAGTGTATCTGTAGTATTATTACGTATGAACTCTCTTCCAATATTTTTTCATTGACCCTGTGTTGTTTTGGGTCGTCTGAGAACCAAATGCCAAGGTGTTTTCCCCCCAGGAGAAATGCTTGGATAAAGGAGGAAGGAGGAGGAAAAGGGAAGGAGGGCCTTCAGACCCTAATGCAAATGCTACAGCTGGGAAATGGGAGTGGGAAGGAGGAGGCTGGGGTAGGAAGGCTCCAGAGTGCTGTGCGGTTCTGGAAATGTCTCAGCCAAGCCACTGGGGAGTCCCCAGGCAAAGGTGGCCTGCTAGGGTGTCCTGCAACAGACAGAAGTAGCTAGGTTCTTGTACCCCCCCCTGCTTAGTCACTGACTGGGAGAAACCAGGGGAAACATAGCCTCAGGAAGAACTTCATAGAGGACTAGAAGGCATAGCAGCTGGAGGCTGTCAGACAGCTGTGCTCCCCACGGTGGGTTCTCTTGAAGGGTGATCTGAGCAGTGTATCTCTATCACCAACACAATCCTCATCCGACCAACATTGATTGAGTGCCTTCTGTGTGCCAGGCGTTGGGTGTGTGATGGCATATTATGGATGATAGGGATGGCCCCTGGCTCCCGGGGAATTCCCCGTGATTGTGGAGAGGGTGGTTTATGAGCTTTCACTGTCAATTCAGAGGAAGGTATCACAGGTCGGGGGTTATCACTCACAGCTTCATGGGGGAGCTTGGCCACAGATTAGGCAGAAAGACTGGGGGAGATCTGAGTTATGGTAGGAAAAGCGAGGAAACAGGTTGGAAAGAGGGAACAGGGGGACTGGCTTCCAGAGACCCATGCAGTGGCTTAGGGAGGAGGTATGGAGGGCCTGGAAGTAAAATCATCTCCAAAGAGTGTTTTATTACTTTTGTTTTAAGCTCATCTCTTGAGCACTTGTGAATCTATTTCTGTGGATATGACATTGCAGATTCAAAAGGATATGAACATTAACATTTCTAATAAATGTTGCCTAATTGCTTTCCAAAAGGTTATACCAGTTCGCCTTCCTACCAACAGTGGTAGGAATAAACAGCCTGTTTATTCACATCCTTGCCAACACTGGAATGAATAACCTTTTAAATCTTTGCCAATCTGATAGATGAAAAAATATTTCAGAGTAAGTTTAATTTGCATGCATTTTAAATAGAGAAATTGAACACATCTTGATATGTTTCTAGAC